TCTCTGTCGATGAATAGCCTCTGGCTTTCCAAGGAGGTCAAGGCTGAAGCCTCTTTCCACAGCAGGGAGTCTGGAAACTGAGCGAGTTTGCTTCTGGGAACTGAGAAATGCCAGCCCCCAACGTTGAAATGAAACAAATCCTCTGCTGATTCATGAGGCATGCCAGGCTCCTCCTAAAAGGGGAATAAAAACAGAGCTATGCGAGAAAAAGAAATAAAAAGCATCCATCTTGGAAAGGAAGAAGTAAGATTATCTCTATTTGCAGATGATGTGATCTTGCATATAGAAAATCCCAAGGAATTCACTAGGAAATTATTAGAAATGAGTTTAGTAAGGGTGAAAGATATGTATCAATTGTATTTTTATTTTTAAATTTTATTTATGTATTTATTTGAGAGGGAGAGAGAGAGAACACAAGAGTGGGGGTGGGGTGGACAGAGGGAGAGAGAGAATGTCAAGCAAGCTCCACACGCGGCACAGAGCCTATTGAGGGGCTTGATCTCTCAACCCTGAGATCATGAACTGAGCTAAAATCAAGAGTCAGATGCTTAACTGACTGAGCCACCCAGGCGCCCCTCAATTGGGATGTTAATACACAAGCAGTGAACAATCCAAAAATGAGATTCAGAAAACAATTCTATTCCAATAGTATCAAAAAGAACAAAATATTTAGGAATAAATTTAACAAAAGAAAGGTAATACTTGTACTCTGAAAAGTTCAAAACATAGTTGAAAGAAATTTTAAAGACTTAAGTAAATGGAAAAACATCTCATGTTTACCAATCAGAAGACTTAATACTGTTAAGACTGTAATACTCTCCAGATCTACAGATTGAACACAGTCCCGATGAAAATTCCAGCTGCCTTTTTTTTTTTTGGCAAAAATTGACAAGCTGGGGGTGCCTGGGTGGCTCAGTCAGTTAGCGTCTGCCTTCAGCTTGGGTCATGATCCCAGGGTCCTGGAATAGAGCCCCTCATCGGGCTACCTGCTCAGTGGAGGGTCTGCTTCACCCTCTCCCTCTGCCCCTCCCCCCACTCATGGTCTGTGTTCTCTCTCACTCACAAATAAATAAATAAAATCTTTTAAAAAAATTGACAAACTGATGTTAAAGTTCATATGGAAATAAAAGGGAATAGTAAAAACAATCAAACAAACAAAAAAACCCTCCAACTCTTGAAAAAGGAGAACAAAAAAATTTTTTTTAAAGATTAATTAATTAATTTGGGAGAGTGAGGGGAGGGGCAGAGGGAGAGAATCTCAAGCAGACTCCCTGCTGAGCTCAGAGCCCAAGGTGGGACTTGATTCCATGACCCATGAGATCATAACCTGAGCTGAAATGAAAAGTCAGACACTTAAGTGACTGAGCCACCCAGGCGCCCCAAGAACAAAATTTGATGATTCACACTTCCCACTTTCAAAACTTACTAAAAAGCTATAGTAGTCAAGATAGTGTGCTATTGTATAAGGAAAACATATGGATAAGTGGAATACCATTGAGAGTCCAGAAATAAACCTTGACATTTATAGTTAATTGAATTTGACAAGGGAGCCAAGGCAATCCAATGGATAAAGAATAGCCTTTTCAAAAACTGGTGCTGGGACAGCTGGACATCCAAATGCAAAAAAAAAAAAAAAGTTAGACCCCTACCTCACACCATACATAGAAATTAACACCAAATGGGACAAACCTAAAAATAAGAGCTAAAACTATAAAACCCTTAGAAGAAAACACAAAATCCTCATGATCTTGGATTAGGTAATGCCTTCTTAGATAAGATACAAAAAGCACAAGTGAAACAAATAAGCAAATAAAACTTCATCAAAATTGCAAATTTTTGTGCTCCAAAGGACACCATCAAGATTTGCAGATCACATATCTGATAAAGAACTTGTATTTAGACTACATAAATAACTCTTACAACTCAATAATAAAAATAATAATAAAAAGATGAACAATCAGGGGCGCCTGGGTGGCTCAGTCGTTAAGCGTCTGCCTTCGGCTCAGGTCATGATCCCAGGGTTCTGGGATTGAGTCCCACATCGGGCTCCCTGCTCGGCGGGAAGCCTGCTTCTCCCTCTCCCACTCCCCCCTGCTTGTATTCCCTCTCTCGCTGTGTCTCTATCAAATAAATAAATAAAATCTTAAAAAAAAAAAAGATGAACAATCAAATTTAAAAGGGAGTAAAAAATCTAAAAACACATTTCTCTATGCTAAATGAAAGAAGCCAGACACAAAAGCCACATATTACATGATTCCATCTATGTGTAATGTGCAGAATAGGCAAATTTATAGAGTTGATTAGTGGTGGCTTAGGGCTAGAGAGGTTGTGGGGGAAATGCACAGTGACTAGTAACAGGTATGGAATTTCTTTTCTTTTTCAAATAATGAAAATGTTGTAAAATTGTGGTACTAGTTGCACACTCTGTGAATATACTAAAAACCACTGAACTGTAAACTTTAAATGTAAATTGTAGTATGGGAATTATTTTTTAATAAAGCCATTTTAAAAAATAAAAAAAAAACGTTTAAGACAGAGAGTTAGGAGGTCCTGCGTTGGGCTCTGCACTCAGCATGGAGTCCGCTTGGGATTCTTTCCTTTTTCCTCTCCCTCCCCCTCTGCCCCTTCCCCTGCTCTTTCTCTCTCTTAAATAAATAAATAAATAAATAAATAAATAAATAAACAAACAAACAAATAAATAAAATCTTTAATTTAAAAAAAAAAGGAGAGAGAGAGTTGTGAGGAGGCGCTCCCTACCCCTCTGAGTGCATGCAGAGCTCTCTTGGGATCGTACCTGCAGAGACACTACATTATTGAGACCATAGCAGAATAGCTGAATGTTGTGGTTTCCTTTTTGTATATACAAAGGCAGCAAAGATCATTAACCTTCCTCAGCTCATTGTGAAAAGTTCAAGGTTATCTATTCATATAAATGTACTATTTTGCTTCAAGATAACCTAGCTTATCAACACTATAGAAAAGTAGAACATATGAACATACAAACCATCTGTATCAGATTTTAAAATAAACAAGGAGGACTACTCTTGTAAACAAAATTTAAAAGGTGGTAAATAGTATATAAAATTCTACCTTAAAAAGAACATAAAAGAATTCTAAATAAAAATTATGCATGGTGAAGCAATTGGGGTGCAATGTACTGATATTTATAACATTTTGAAATGCATCAAAAAACCAATATGGATTGGTAAAGGGATGGACAGATGGACATATGATAAAAACAAATATAGCAAGATGTTCACTGTAGAATCCAGGCAGTGGGTATATAGTTCGTTCAGCCTTTCTGAATCCTCCAAATTTGCATTAAAATGTTGGTGGGGGGGGGAAGAGTTGGTTGCTCAAGAGAGGAAAGGCTCACTTCTCCAACAAAACCTGCATCTTCTATTTTGATAGCTGAGGAAGGAAAATAAATGGCATGCAACAAAGAAGTGGGTGGAGTTCCTTTCTCTTATAATAACTGGTCTAAATAATTCAGAAGAGCAATTATATATGCCACATTTGAGGCTAGAAGAGTTAAAGGCACCATGAGAAAGATTACAAATTTTTAAATGGTGTCATGATTCACAGAAGCTGAGTAAGAAAAGCCAATCTAACCAACTAATCTACACTTTTGAGTCCCGGCCCTTTTAAAAATGGCTACAGCTGAGCATGACAAACTGATGGTAAATAAGGGCCCCACCCAGACCAGGAAGCATAAATAAGCAAGAACTCTTGATTTTGCTTTCAGTTCTTCTTGAAGGTGACTAGCTGGTTGATAGCTCAGTGTAAGTGCTCCTACTATGCAGATTTTGGCTGCCAAAGAAGACCCACTCCTGGACGGTGAGCTACAGTTCTGTTCTCAGTCCTCTTTTCTTATTAAGGATAGGCTTTGACAAGCGTCTTTGCTCAAGAGTTTGCCTCCTTCTTACACATACATGTCCCATCCACAGGTGGGCTCTCAAGAGATGCCTGCTGGAGTGAGGGTAGGGGTTAAGGATGTGGCTGTTCTTTCTAGAGTTTTCTTTCCAAAGACTGCACAGGGTTTGTTAGAACTATCCCAGCCTGGGGAGAGCCCTCGGTCAAAGGCAAGCTTGGGGATCTGTAGTACTTGAAGGGCAAAATGCTTCTTGCCAGACTGCCTACAGGAAATGGGGTAGCCCTCGCATAATCTCCAGCCCATTCCAAAGAGTATCTCTCTTTTCCGCACTGATCCTCCCTCCCAAAGGAGCACCTTCCAAATAGACTTTTAGAGCTGTAACCACCTCATGATCTAAAGACAGGACTTCAACTCCTCAGAGCCAAGTTCACCAACGATTCAGATCTGGGGCTCCCTCCCTATCATGCCTGAGAGAGCCGCCCCCGCCCCCATCCCCATTCCCTACCCCTTCTCATTTGGATCTGGACACCTCCCCCACCCCATTTACCCGCCGGCCACTGCCTGGTCTCAGAGTCAACAGCTCCAAATGCTGAGACAAGAAGAGCTTCACCTTGTCAAGAGGCACAACTCCACCTCTCAGAAGCCCCCCAAAACCTCAGACCTAGAACAATTCATCCCTCAAAACAGGCGCATTCTTCCAATCCCTCAGAGCCAGTCCCCAAACCCTTCAAAGCTGGGACCATGTCCCACCCCATGTCCCAGAGCCAGGTCCCTAACCCCATAGCCCTAATCCTTGGCCACATCACCTCCCCAATCGCCGCTTTGGTGTTTTTGGCGCCCCCGCCAGGGCGGGATCCATACCATAGTCCGGACGCCTGAGGCGGGTGCGCGCGTGATCACAGCACTAACGGCCTGGGGAGATGGGCGGCACGCGCGGTGGGGCGGGGCCTGCGGCGGGGGCGGGGCCTGGCGTGCGCCAGCCTGTCTCGTGGACCGAGACAGGTGAGGGGCGGGCGGGGATGGCGGAGCAGTGGGATCTGGACGAGGAAGGCGTCCGCCGCCTGGGGGCGCTGACTCTGGAGCAGCCCGGTAGGGCCAGGCCGGGAGGACCTGGGCCGGGAGCGTGGGGTCTGAGGCTGAGGGGAGAAAACTGAGGTAGAGGTGGGGGAACCTGAGGTAGACGCGGCGGAATGGCGGCGGAGGAGCGGTCCCTGAGATGGAGAAGGGGTTACTGAGGCAGAAGAGTCACACTGAGGTGAAGGTGAACGACGTGAAGTAGCCTGAGAGTCTGGGGAGGAGGGCGAGGAATGGAGGGAGACGAACGGAGTCTGAAGTGGAGGAGAAAGTGGATTAACGGGACACTGCGGCCGGAAACAGAACTGGACAGAGTCTGAGCTAGGGGAAGGAAACGGAGCCCCAAGAGGGGCATTGGCGGGAGAAGGGACGTGCTGAGAAGCGCCTTTGAGGTGGCGGTGCTCTTGCGGAAGGCACGAAGGGCGTTCGTTTTGGCATTTTCTGAAATTTCAGACCCAGGAGGGTTTTTCCTGTTTGGGGTAAAATGGGAAAGGATGTTCCCTTATCAGTCCCTCTCTTCGTTTAGTCTCCGCCTCAAGAACTTGGCCATTTCTTTGATCCGTCCGGATGTGTGGCTTCCTTTTAAGAGACCCTCAGAAAGGGGCCTCAGTTGTGAAAGCAATAGCAAGCCGCGAGCTGGTCTCTCAAGGCGCTGGAGAGAACTGGCTGAGCCACTGCTGACCCCAACTTTGACCTGGGCTCTGATTCACAGAGCTTGTTTTCTGAGTTTCTAAGGAGTAGACAAGTTGGGAAAGTTTTATCAGCATTCCTAACTCAGCTTTTACCCTTATTAAATTTACTCTATCCTTAATGCCGGGCCCTGTGTTAAATGCTTACCCCCCACCCCGCAATATTTAATCCCCATAACAGGCCTGTAAAGCAGATGCTGTTATTGTGCCTATTTTACAGATGGGTTAAAGTTTAGTCTCCTGCCCAAAGTGACACAGCCAGGGTTTATTAACCCAGGACTCTTGAGTTCAGAGCCTGTGCTCTAACCTTTACAAAAAGTTGCCTTTCTTGCTTCTTCTAGTACTATTTATTTGTGGGATATGAAATAATTGGTTTTATTTTGTTTAAAAATTATTATTTAAAATTTATAAAAACTAGTGCATGCTAGTAACAAACATTACATGAATGAAGAGGTTATTAATCTTTCCTTCCTCTGGAAATCTCTCCACCCCCAACCAAAGGTAGTGGTGTGGTGTGTATATGAATAGACTGCAGGTATTTCAGGTTTGTTTTTTCTTTTTCAAACTACTTTGAGCTCTCCTGTTTTACAAGTTAGCTAAGAAAAGCTTTATTGGTTTGACACACTTTTGTACTTTTTTTGCCTTTAAAAAAATGTTGATTTAGTTTTATTTGGTTGGGGGTGGGGCATATACTCCTTACATTCTCCAGCTATAATGGCACATGGCAGATTTTTTTTGCTTGTTTTTGTTTCCTTGTTTTATTACAGTTGTCTGAATAACAAAATTGTGCTCATTCTGACAATTCAAACAATGCAAAACTAAAGTAAATGAATATTCTTCCCTCTCCCTCTTTCCATACCTTTTCCATACATCTACACATAGGTATTTTTTTTAATGTATAAGAGCATATCTATTATTTGGCAATTTGCTTTTTTTTTTTGACTTATCAATAAAACATACTTTAATGTGCTGTTATATGCATTATTAAATTAAGTAAAAAATCACAGTGGTCATCTTTGGGGAGAAAGGCTTTTATTCTGTACTTTTCTGTACTGTTGGAATTTTCTGGCTATGTAATAAGTGTTATTTTCTTTTTAATGTCCAAAGAGATGATCTTGTGGTGCAGTTATACACTGTTTTGTATGTTTGTTTTTTTGTTATATTTCCCTATACTAAAAAATTCCCATAAATGTTTAAATTATCCTTTGTCATGCAGAAAATTTTCATCTTAAGGGAGTCAAGTTTATTTTTCCTTATGATTTGTGATTTTTTAGTCTTATTTTTGAAGTTTTTCCCTACACTGCTGAATAACATTTTTTTCCTAAAAATTTTGCTGCTTTGCTCTTCACCTTAAGTCTAATCTACCTGGAATTTATTTTTATATACAATGTGTGATTTGGTATAATTGTATTTTTTTTATACTGATCTCCAGTTTCCTCAGAACCTATTTATAGTATCTCTGCTATATTCCAAGTTCCTTTGTAAATGTGTAGGCTCTCTGTTCTGTTCCACTGTTCTGTTTGTCTATTCCTACACCAGTATCACACTTTTGTAACTACTGTGGCTTAACAGGTTTTGATAACTGGTAAAGTCAGTGCCCTCCTTCACTTTCCTCTTTTTCCTTCAAAGTTGTCTAGGCTATTCTTAGCCCTTCATTCTCTTTTAGAATCAGCTTGTCAGTTTTCATCAAAGCATTTTAAGCAGGGATGTGTCCTGATCTAATACTTATTTTTAAAATATGACTCTCACCCATTAGAAGCCTGTTACAGTAGTCCAGATAAGAGATAATGAATGGCTTGGACTAGGAGGATGACAGTGGAGATAAAAAGAAGTGGACAGAGTCAAGGTGTATTTTGTGGGTAGATAGGACAAGACTTACCAAAAAAATTGAATATGGGAGTTGGGGAAAGGAAAGATTCAAAGATAAACTTGGTTTAGGTTATTGCTGGGTGGACGATGGTGCTATTTATTTAGAGAGAGCACAAAGACTATGTGGGAAATATTGGCTTGGGGAAGGCGAATCAAGAGTGCTGTTTTGAACATGTTAAGTTTAAAATACCTACTAGACATTCAAATGTGAAATTTTTAGTAGGCAATTGGATATACAAGTCTGGATCTCAGAGGAGAGAGGTCAGGGTTAGAGTTGTGAATTTTGGGAGACACTAGCAAATCAGTAATACTTAAAGTGATAAGAATGGGTGAACTCACCTAACTAGAGAATGTGGATGGAGAATAGAAGAAGGTTTAAGACTCATCTTGGGATATTTCAATCTTTAGATGTTGAATAGAGAAGGAAGAACCTGGTGTCTTGGAATTTAAGAAAGGGTAGTGTATGAAGGAAGTAATGGTCAGCTGTGCCAAATGCTATTTTTTTTTTTTATTTGAGAGAGAATGAGAGAGAGAGAGCACACGAGAGGGGGGAGGGTCCGAGGGAGAAGCAGACTCCCCGCTGAGCAGGGAGCCCGATGCGGGGCTCCATCCTGGGACTCCAGGATCATGACCTGAGCCGAAGGCAGTCGCTTAACCAACTGAGCCACCCAGGCACCCCTGTGCCAAATGCTATTGACAGGCTAAGCAAGCAGAGAAATGTCTGTTAGATTTGGCAACATGGAACTCATTGGTCACTTTAACTAGGGGAATTTCGAGAGAATGGAGGGAAGCCAGGCTGGTTTGGGATGAAAAGGGAATAATATGTGAGGGAGAAGAACTAGTGAAGGTAAGACCTTTCCTGAGAAATGTGGCCATAAAAGAGAACACAGAAGTGGAATATTAGTTGGGGGATATAATGTGGGATCAAGAACAAGTTTTTAGTGGGTTTAAGATTTTATTTATTTATTTATTTTTATTTAATTAATTTATTTATTTGACAGAGAGCACAAGCAGGGGGAGGATTAGAGGGAGAGGGAGAAGCAGGCTCTCCATTGAGCATGACCTGAGCCAAAGGCAGACACTTAACTGACTGAGCCACCCAGGCACCCCAAGAACAAGTTTTTTAAAGACACAATATACTAGAACATATTTGTATGCTGATGATAATTATTTGGTAAGGAGAGAAAATATATAATTATGTACTTCTTTGGCTTTTAAAAATAATTCAGTTATTTATTATATGGGTAATATAATTATTGTACAGTGAAAAGTGAGTCTTGACCACCCCCTTCCCTGGCCCTGACCCAGTTCTCCTAAAGACAATCACTATTACCAATATCTTGGATAACTTTCCAGAAATATTCTCTACATATATCACTTATTTTATAATTTTTTTTATTAATGGCAGTATATAAATATATACAAGAGTAGAGACAACAGAATAATGAACTCCCATCACCCTACCTCAGCTGGTATTGTCAATTCATGGCCAGTCTTCTTTCTTCTGTACCTCACCTAACTTCTACCCACGCCTAACCCCCTGCACTGTTTATTTTGAAGCAAATCCCTGTCATATGATTTAACCCATATATATTTTAATGTATATATCTTCAAAAGAGAACTCTTTTAAAAATAATAATCACTTATAAACCTAAAAATATTTGTTTATTTATTTATTTATTTATTTATTTTAAAGATTTTATTTATTTATTTGAGACAGAGAGAATGAGAGACCGAGAGCATGAGAGGGAGGAGGGTCAGAGGGAGAAGCAGACTCCCTGCCGAGCAGGGGGCCCAATGCGGGACTCGATCCCGGGACTCAACCTAAAAATATTTAATAGTAATTTCTTGATATCATCAAATATGCACCCAGTTTTCTCATTTCACCAACTGTCCTATAAAATTTTTCTGATTCAGGATCTATGTAAGGCCTACTGTAATTGGTTGATATTTGTCTTTTAAAAAAAATTTTAATTCCAGTATAGTTAACATACAGTGTTACATTCATTTCAGGTATACAATATGGGGATTCAACAATTTCATGCCTCACCCGTGCTCATCTCGGCAATTACACTCCTTAATCCCCATCACCTGTTTCATCCCTCTGGCAACCATCAGTTCTCAATAGTTAAAGAGTGTTTCTTGGCTTGTCTGTGTTTTTTTGTTTTTTCTCTGCTCATTTGTTTTGTTTCTTAAATTTCACATATGAGTGAAATCATAGGTATTTGTCTTTTGTTGACTTACTTCACTTAGCATTATACAGTTGATACTTGTCTTAAATATTGTTTGAGCCATAGGTTTCCCCTTCTTTTTTTCCTTGCATTTTCTATTGTTCTTAAAGAAACTAGGCCATTTGTCCTGAATAGTTTCTTACAATCTGGATTTTGCTCATTAAATTCCTAAGATGTTTAACATTTTCCCCAGTTCTTGTTCCTATGAATTGCTACTTAAGTGAAGCTTGATTTGATTCAGGTTTGTTTGTTTTTGTGCAAGACTACTTCATAGGTGAGAGTATACTGTCATGAAGTGTATAATTATCTGGTGTTCTTTTTGTGACATCAGCTATTAAACATGACTATGTAAAGTCCACTAATTCATTAGGGATTGCAAAATGATAATTTTCTATCTTTCATTTTTATTAGTTGTAAGTTGTATATAAAAAGACATTTCCTATCGGGCGCCTGGGTGGCTCAGTCGTTAAGCGTCTGCCTTCGGCTCAGGTCATGATCCCGGGGTCCTGGGATTTTCTTAGCATCCTCTAAAGGTAACCAATAAGAGAGTTGTTTTGTTTTCTTAGTGTCATTATAAATTCATGGATTTAAGTGTTTTTGGTGTGTTCTAATCTACTATAGTTATTATCATAATTGCTGTTGAACTTGTCCCTACTTTGGCTAGTGGGAAATCTTTCAGGCTGACTCTTGAGGCTTTTTTTCAGTTTTACTTATTTGAAACTCTTTCATCATCCCTATAAATAAGCTTTATTAAAGATTATGAATTCAGTTTCCAAGTGAGCTATAAATGGTTTTCCATACAGAGATTATTTACTTGATTTGTTATTTTCATGAGCAAAACGTGTTTTGACCCATTAGGGTTATGTAGCTTATATATTAAAATAGGAAGATTATTCTGTTTTTTGTGGGTTTTTTTTTGAAGATTTTACTTATTTATTTGAGAGAGAGAGACTGAGATAGCGAGAGAGAGCACAAGCAGGGAGGAGAGGGAGAAGAAGCCTCCCCGCTGAGCGGGGAGCCCGATATGGGACTCGATCCCAGGACCCTCGGATCATGACCTGAGCCGAAGGCAGACGCTTAACCAACTGAGCCACCCAGGCGCCCCTATTCTGTTGTTCTTGACATCTTTGATGTGCAATGTTTGATTAGATCTCTGATCTGTTTGTCTTCACTGTCTTTATAAACACTGAGACTGCATAATCTCTTAAGACCTTGCACTTCATATGAATCATAAAAGAATATCTGTCACTGTGGCAGTTTATCATTTGAATGATAATTCCAGTTCCTTTAAAAATATTAAAATGTCTGCCCTTCAAAACAGCGGGGAAAGGCATGAGAAATGCTTCAGGGCACTGATAGAAATTATAATTGACCGTAGCTTTTGTCCCATGGTAACACATTCTTAGGGTACCAGACCATTGCATACAATAGGACTACCAATATGCTGCCCTCAAAGTCAGGAAAAAAATTTTTTGAGATATAATTCATATACTATAAAATTTAATGTATATAATCTAGTGCCACTTAGTTCATTGCGCAACCATTACCATTAGTAGTTCCAGAACATTTTTATCAGCCCCAAAGGAAACCCTGTACCCGTTAGGCAGTCACTTTTCATTTCCAGCTTTCCCGAGCCCCTGGCAACCACTAATTTGCTTTCTGTCTCTATGGATTTGCCTGCTCTGGATATTCCATATAAATAGAATCATACAATATATGGCCTTTTATATCTGGCTCCTTTCACTTAGCATGGTATTTTTAAGGTTCATCCATATTTTATCATGTATGGGTACTTCATTTCTTTTTTTTTTTAATAGAATTTATTTTTTAAAACATTTTTAGGTTTATAGAAAGCTGAGCAGAGAGTACAGAGAGTTCTATAAAAGCTCCCTCTTCCCCCCTCATACTTTCCCCATATCTCCCCTATTATTAATATCTTGCATTTGTGTGGTGCATTTGTTATGATTGATGAACCGATACCAATATATTATTATTAACTGAAGTCTGTTGTTTACATTAAGATTCACTCTTTGTGTTGTTTGATTCTGTGGATTTTGACAAATGTATAGTGTCATGTGTATACCATTACAGTATCAAACAGAATAGTTTCACTGCCCTAAATATCCTCTGTGCTCCATCTGTTCATCCTTCCCTTTCTACTTAACCCCTAACAACTACTCATCTTTTTACTACTACTTTCTACAGAATGTCATACAGTTGTAATCATTTAATATGTAATCTCTGGCAACCAGTAACTTTTTTTTTTTTTAAGATTTATTTATTTGAGAAAGAGAGCATGAACGCATGCAAGGGGGCAAGGGGGGAGGGGCGGAGGGAGAGGAAGGAGAGAATCCCCCCCCCCCCCCCCACCCACCAGCAGGCTCCTGGCTGAGCAGAGTCCAACACAGGGCTGCAAGGCTGAATCACAGGACCCTGAGATCTCGACCTGAGCCAAAATCAAGAGGTGGATGTATAACCGACTGAGCCACCCAGGTACCCCCATCCACTAACCTTTTTAAAAAATCTTTTAATTGAAATATAAATGACATACAACATTATATTCGTTTCAGATATACAACATAATGATTTGATATTTTTATACATCATGGCATGTATACATACAATAAATCTAGTTAACATTTGTCACATTACATAGTTACAAAGAAATGTATTTTCTTGTGATGAGAACATTTAAGATCTACTTAGTAACTTTCAAATATGCAATACAGTATTATTAAATAGTGGCCATGCTGTACATCAGTGATCTGTTTACTGTTGCCTTTTTCACAATGTCTTATAGTTGGAACCATATAAGTATAACCTTTTCAGACTGGCTTATTTCACTTAGCCATATGTATTTAAGGTTCCTCCATGTCTTCCCATAGCTCAATTGATAGCTCTTTTTTTTTTTTTTTAAAGATTTTATTTATTTGTTTGACAGAGAGATAGAGAACACAAGTAGGCAGAGGGAGAGGGAGAAGCAGGCTCCCCGCAGAGCAGGGAGCCCGATGCGGGACTCGATCCCAGGACCCTGGGATCATGACCTGAGCCGAAGGCAGCCGCTTAACCGACTGAGCCACCCAGGCACCCATAGCTCATTTCTTTTTATTGCCGAATAATATTCCACTGTGTGGAGGTACCATAGTTTATCCATGCATTTACTTATTGAAGAGCATCTTGGTTGCCTCTAAGTTTTGGCGGTTATAAGTAAAACTGCTATAAACATTCATATAAGCCTCTATGTACAGGTATAGGTGCTATAAATACAGAGGTTTCTGTGTTGACATAAACTTTCAACTCACTTGGGCAAGTATCAAGGCACATGATTGCTAGATCATCTGGTAAGCTGTGTCTAGTTTTATAAGACACTGCCAAGCTGTCCCAGGCGCCCCTAGAGCTACATGGGTGCCCCTGATCTTCATTTTTGAAATGACCTTTTTTTAAATTTGAGTTCTGTCTTTATTTTCAAATCTTCCTTTTCTTTCTGATAATTTTTCTGAATTTTTCTAATTCTAATTTACATTTTTCAGCAATTTTCAAACTTTTTGGTTTCAGAATATTTAAGAAATATAGGAGTGACATTGTCTTATATTCTTAAAAATATCTTTTTTTAAAAAATATTTTTATTTATTTATTTGACAGAGAGAGACACAGCGAGAGAGGGAACACAAGCAGGGAGAGTGGGAGAGGGAGAAGCAGGCATCCCGCAGAGCAGGAAGCCCGATGCGGGGCTCAATCCCAGGACCCGGGGATCATGACCCGAGCCGAAGGCAGACGCTTAACAGACTGAGCCACCCAGGCGCCCCTAAAAATATCTTTAATGTCTTAACTGGAGACTTCTAGAGTCTCATATCTGCTTCTGTATTAAATCTCAAGAAATGGTTGAAAAATATATATTTTTTATATATATTATATATTAGTATATAGATTAAAGATTTTACTTCTTTATTTGTCAGAGAGAGAACCCGATGAGTGGGGAGCAGCAGAGGGAGAGGAACAAGCTGGTTCTCCACTGATCAGGGACCCCGATGCAGGGCTCGATCTCAGGACCCTGGGATCACGACCTGAGCCGAAGGCAGACGCTTACCCAACTGAGCCACCCAAGCACCCCTGGTTGAAATATATCTTTTAAAAACGGGGCGCCTGGGTGGCTCAGTTGGTTAAGCTACTGCCTTTGGCTCAGGTCATGATCCTGGAGTCCAGGGACAGAGTCCCGCATTGGGCTTCCAGCTCAGCGGGGAGTCTGCTTCTCCCTCTGACCCTTCCCCCTGTCATGTGTTCTCTCTCTCTCTCATTCTCTCTCTCTCAAATAAATAAAATCTTTAAAAATAAAAATAAAAATGATGCCTCACACAGATAAGAGGTTCAAAAAGAGGGAAGTATTTTAATAGCCTTGCAGAGAATTGTGGATATTCTTCTTTGATATGACATGAAAACTGGACAAATGGTAGTTTCTTAAAAATTGAGTTGTGTGTGGAATCTGAAACTATATCAGCGTGCTTTTTGTACTCTGTTGCATTTGAAATCCATTGGTACATCTTGCATTTAAATGGATCTTTTACCCATGCATGATTTTGTGCATCCGTCATTTGAGAGATACTAATTCACTGAGTTATGTATGTCTTTCAAATGCTGACAAATGTCATTCTGTATAACATATAAAATAAAATTTTCATTTGTTAATGTCATCAATCTCGGGGCGCCTCGGTGGCTCAGTCAGTTAAGCGTGTGCCTTCAGCTCAGGTCATGATCTCAGGTTGTGAGATAGAGCCCCATTGGCTCTGTGCTCAACTCCGTGCTCAATAGCAGCTTGAGATTCTTTGTCTCTTTCTCTCTCTCTCTCTCCCTCTGCCCCTCCCCTCTGCATGCATTTTCTCTCTCTAAAATAAATAAATCTTCAAAAAAATTTTACACAGATGTTTTCCCTCAGGGCATCCACCATACTTTATTATGCAGAAGTACTTCATAAATATTTCTCATTTAGTCACACAAATAAAACAAACATGTGCTCAAAGTTCAGAATTAATAAAATTAACCATTTTTACTGCTTTTTAAAGGACATTCTTAAGTGAAACTGGCTATTTTTAAAAATTGCAGGTATGTGATGGTAAAGAATACTATGACTGGGCGCCTGGGTAGCTCAGTCGTTAAGCGTCTGCCTTTGGCTCAGGTCGTGATCTCAGGGCCCTGGGATCGAACCCCACATTGGGCTCTCTGCTCAGCGGGGATCCTGCTTCTCCCTCTGCCCCTGCTTGTGTTCCCTCTCTCACTGTGTCTCTCTGTTAAATGAATAAAATCTTTAAAAAAAGAACACTATGACTGTGAGTGTTCCTTGAGTCATCCTAAGGCCCCAGTAGTTTTGCTTTTACACCATAACTGCAACAGTGGAAAAGCTAATATTTTTTTAAAGATTTTATTTATTGGGCGCCCTGGTGGCTCAGTCGTTAAGCATCTGTCTTCGGCTCAGGTCGTGATCCCAGGGTCCTGCGATCGAGCCCCACACTGGGCTCCCTGCTCTGTGGGAAACCTGCTTCTCCCTCTCCCACTCCGCTTGCTTGTGTTCCCTCTCTCACTGTCTCTCTCTCTGTCAAATCTTTTAAAAAAGATTTTATTTATTTATTTGAGAGAGAGAAAGAGAGAGAGAGAGCATGAGAGGGGAGAGGGTCAGAGGGAGAAGCAGACTTGCTGCTGAGCAAGGAGCCTGATGCAGGACTCCATCCTAGGACTCCAGGATCATGACCTGAGCCAAAGGCAGTAGCTTAACCAACTGAGCCACCCAGGCGCCCAGTATTTTAATATTATTATGAAAGTAATTTTTAAAAAATATTTTGATTTTTGTGGACCCCTGTACATGTCTCAGGGTCCTTCAGGGGTCTAGGAACCACTTTGAGAACTGCTACATTTTGTTTTTGTATGTTTTAGCTTGTTTCGAAATATTAAGTTACGATTTTCATTTGTGATATATCTTTCCGGAGTGCTTTCATTCTTTAGGGGTAATACTCTCTTTTTTCTTTTATTAACGTCATATAAAATTGGACTGTAATCCTTTCCTGTGGCTCCTTAAGTGCAGTAAGTTTTCCTATACTTTTACATGCTAGGGTGGGCCAGAAGAGCTTTTCTAGTTTCAGGGTTTTGGAGCTCCCTCTTCTGTTCACAAAGTGGAAAAAAAAAAAAAAAAAGCTTTAGGCTTCCTGGTATCTGCCATCTTTGCTTCTCTCCCCACTTGTATCTGGACCTTCTCTTTTTTTTGAACCTGTTTCTGTCCCATTCAATGTGGATTCTCCTCCCAGTAATTTCTCCCTGATGTGGGTCTTATCTTGAAAGCTGTCTTCAGTTTATTACTTTTTGGAGTTTATAGGGTCCAGACTGCTCTAGCACCTTAAACCTTATTTCATTGCAGTTCCCTGGCACTCACCTGCAAATTGGATCTTGCAGAACCTCCTTCCAGTCTTTGTTTTTTTTTTAAAGATTTTATTTATTATTTGACAGAGAGAGAGATAGCGAGAGCAGTAACACAAGCAGGGGGAATGGGAGAGGGAGAAGCAGGCTTCTTGCCGAGCAGGGAGCCCGATGTGGGACTCGATCCCAGGACCCTGGGATCATGACCTGAGCTGAAGGCAGACGCTTAACGACTGAGCCACCCAGGCACCCTCCTTCCAGTTTTGATCGCTATTGTATGTAGCCCACCACACTTGCCAGTGAGTTCCTATTGACAATTTTGACATTCTCCTCTTTTTAGTGCTGTTAGAAGTCTAGTTGACTTTCTTCTATATATATGAGTATATTATATAAATATATATGTATATACTTTAAAACATAGTTACACAAAAATGTACTTTTCCCTCACTTACTGTCATGGAGATCTTTCCATATGATCATCTACAAGTGTCTACCTCATTCTTTTTAATAACTGCATAACAATAATTCACACATATATAGTAATTATAAGTACTGTTCTAAGTTTTGTTTAATCATTACAACATCTTATGAGTTAAATACTGTTATTATCCCCATTTTACAGATAAGGAATCTGAAGTACAGAGAGAGTAAGTGACTTGTAGAAAGCCACAGATCTAGTACTTTGTCCTGTATCCATCTACTGTTATTTAGGACATCAAGTTCTACTCTTCTGCTGATAGACCCTGTGATCATTTTCTTTTTCTTTTTTTCTTTCTCTTTTTTTAAACTATCCTAAAACCTTTCTTCAATTGATAGCCACGTGTTTTTATTATATGTCCTGGCAAATTTTTTTTTAGTATAATCCATAGGGCTAAATCCTAGCAGTGGGATTGCTACATTTTTTTTTTTTTTAAGATTTTATTTATTTGACAGAGAAAGACAGCTAGAGAGTAAACACAAGCAGGGGGAGTGGGAGAGGGAGAAGCAGGGTCCTGGCTGAGCAGGGAGCCCGATGTGGGGCTCGATCCCGGGACTCTGGGATCCCGACCTGAGCCGAAGGCAGACGCTTAATGACTGAGCCACCCAGGTGCCCCAGATTGCTACATTTCTTTTTAAATTCGTTTTGAGAACTTTTGGAGACTTTTATTACATCCTTCAGGGTGAATAGAGAAACACAAGGGTGCTATAAAACCAAGGTTTGGTTTCACTGTATTAGGTGATATCACTGCTTTTAAAAGGAAAATCTGATCTTATGAACCTTGATGTAGGGCCTTTCACAAATGGATTATGGGAGGAAACCTATTTTCACTGACTCTGTTTTTAAGCAGAGTTCATAATCTATCTACTGGTGATCTCTTTTCAGAATTGGTGGAGTCTCTTTCATTGCAGGGATCTTATGCTGGAAAAATTCATTCCATTGGTGATGCCTTCAGAAATTTTAAAAACCTCCGATCCTTAGATTTATCAAGAAATTTGATCACAAGCCTGAAGGTAAGTTCTATATTCTATGACTAGTCAGTTCAGCCCAATTTATTTTGGTGGTGGTGGTGGTGGTGGTGGTAGTAGTTGTTTTAATGGGAAGAAATAAGAGAGAGATAATGTCAGCCTGGGGAATATAGGATCTTCCTTTTAAGTGTTTCCAAACTAAATTTTATTATTCACTGTAAAACTCATTCAGCTTTATTCTATGTTTGAAATTTTCTGATATAAAATGTTGGGGAAATTTTTTTTTGTACTCAGGGAAAATTATATTAAACGATCTAAGGCGATAGGACAAAATTTTTATGTGTGTAAAAAATTACAAGGAGCACTTGTGAAAGTACATATTCTTAGTTGCTACTCTGAGAGAGATTCTGAGTTAGTCGGTCTGAGTGGGCTCAGGATATATCCGGGGATTCTGATGATGTTGGTACATAGTACAGAAACACTGGTTTAGATTATTTCTGTGGGTTTTTTCAAGGAGGAGGAGGAAATGGTGGCCTTGAAAATAAAGAAAAATGCCTAGATCAGGGTATGGTAGAGCAGAGGGCAAGACAGGAAAGTGGGCAGGAGCAGGCTTGAGCAGTGTGAGGATTAGCAAATACACAAAGAGCTGTACAAACATAAGTGTGTACACACAGAGGTGGAAGTTTTGTTTTCTTTGTGGTAGACCCCCAAATGGTATTTCCTCCACGTGTTGCCATTTTACCCTTATGTGCCCGTCTTGATTAAGCCCTTCTTTGCAAGACTCAAGGTCAAAGACTCACAAATGCTATTCAGGATTAGTTAATGATCTCCTGGATTATGCTGCCAGTTTTGTGCTTTTAAGGGAATACTTGTTCAACAAGACAAGCCAGACCCAAGTCTAAAACAAAGGACCCTGAAAGAGAAGTTCAAGCAAGATTTCCAGCTAGGACTCTAAAACCAGAAGCTGCAAGTTAAACTAGGTCGTTAGACTATTTGGTAACAGCCATTAATATTTGACCCATCAGTTTCAGAAAGCAGTAGTTTACAGTTGCTTGGGTCTCCTCTTTTCACATGTATCTTTGTTTGCTTGTTAATTTTCAAGGTAAAAAATTGAGTGAACATTGCCATAATTTGTTTATATACTCGCTTTCTTTCTACTTCTGTAAATTGGGCAAAAAACTATTGTGAAGATTAGCATGTGTACACTGGCATATATAGGAAGCACTTAGTAAATGTTTTCTCCAATTTTTTGCATCTATGATTTATCTGCATATGTTCATCTCTAGTAGTTCTGAATCATTTTACTTAATTTTCTCAGGGGATAAATGCTTTGTGATTATTTCTAGTATAACTTTGGGGAATACGTGAATTCATGCCAAGTGGGAAAAGTGAGAGGAAGATAGAAGTCATTTCCTTGACTTTTACACTGAGAGACATTAAAAGATTACTTGAGCTGGGCCATTAGACACATTTAAAGAGAGTCCTGATGGTGTACTGCCCTGAGAGTGGGGCCAAAGTCACTGAAAACTATTCCTAACTTCTGATCCTTTTACAATGTAGAAGTTAATGGAATTGAAAAAAGCCAGAAAGAAATGAATCAAAGTGTAAACAGAGTTTTCTATTCAGAAATGCTTTGTGTATAATCTGAGTTTTCTAAATTTTCTGCAACAAGAGAATGGTCATTTTGAATGACAAGAATAAAAAAAACATTATTTTATAAATACATGGTGGAAAATAATTTTACTGAAATTACCCTCAATGACAAAGTTCCTTCTATGGTAAGCCTTTTTACTACGAAAAGGATATGATTGTACATATATGTACATGTTTTGAATTATTGTCCTGAAATTTAATGTTGGACAAAAGCAGCTAACTAGACAAATACATGAAAATTAAACAATTATTTTCAATAGTAGATTTCAGCAAAGGAGGCATACTGTGGCTTTTCCTCTCCAGTATCCCACAGAAACAGAGGGGTGGGGTAATTCTGAAAGGAGAAACAAGGACAAGAATGGTTCCAGACTGTTCCAAGAGGGAAGACTTAAGATATAGTGTTGTTTCGTTTTCCCATATACTCAATTTATCCTAAACGTGAGGCACTGAGATAAAAGAACACAAAACATATACACACCTAATTTTTTTAAATTATATCCTTCTTCCTCAGAACTATCTCTTTTGCCTACCTCCTTCTTGAAAATTGAGGTGTATCTAGGGTCAGAGTGGATGTGGCAAGGGTGAGAGAAGGGCAAAAGTGACGTGGCCTAGCCACTGGAAGGGAGAGTAATCGGGGAGCAACAGAAGTAGAGAATAGACTGCAGATATTTCCATGTCAGATTTTGGAAGGAGGAAATGCATGATATCTTTGGATTATTTAATATATAGGACATCCAGTGCCTATCGGCTGCATTGTTCTTATTCTCAGGCATCTAAATAAGAGTTTCAACCCTGCCTTTCTCATGGGTGACTCAGGTAACATGTTTAAGGATGAAAGTAATAGATATATTTCCACCTTTATCTGTGAGATTCCTAGTCCTTACCTATGTGCAGTTTCATAATGTGGTCTTTTCCTTGCAGGGCATCCAGTACTTATGCTCACTCCAAGACCTGAATTTATATTATAACAACATTCCTTCATTAGTGGAGGTGTCCCGCCTACAGCCTTTACCCTTCCTCAAAGAACTAGATTTGAGACTCAATCCTGTTGTCAGGAAAGATACAGATTATAGGCTCTTTGCTGTGTACACGCTACAAACTCTGGAGAAACTGGGTGAGACCCTCCTCCCCTGTTCCTTGCCCTAGAATTTACATTAAACGAGCTGCCTCCTAATCTTTGGGTGTTGGCCCACAGTGTGCACTGGCAGGATATATTTGTTTATTAGTCAATATTTATGTAATTCTTTTGTGTTGGCAGGATGTATGACGAGTCCTTTTTTTATTGAATGACAATCTATGATTTTATCAGTTACTTCCAGCTTTAGTTTTCTTCAGTTGATGGTTTCACCACCACTTCCTCCCCAATAAAGAGTTTCCAGGTTGAGATTTATTTTTCGAGGTGCCCCAAATTTGCAACTATATTAGCAATAGAAAATGCATACAACCACCTTTGGGGCTTAGTCGGCAAGGAACAATAAATATTCCTTCAAATGAGCTAGTCTGTATTTCTTTATAATTTTATTGTTGAGTGTACATTTCTTGTTGATACAAACTTGGATTTGCCCCTGGGAAAGTTATTGTGGGGAAACTAATTTCTTTCAGAAACAGTGTAACTTTCAGCAGAATACTAGGCCATTTGGATTGTTTGCTGCCTAAACTCTACTTTCCTGCAGGGGTAGTGTAACTACCCCTGCAGTTGTTGCTATGGTATCCCTGTAGTCTCCCTGAGTTACTACTTGCTCCAGTGACAACATAATAGCATTAGTTTGTGACCTGTCTCTAACAAAAGAATATGAGACTGATCTTTAGTTTTTACTCTGTGAATATGGTTTTCTGACCCACTACTGTTTACTCCAAAAAAGAAACATGCTCAGACCACGGTTTTTGCCTCCAGATGACCGAGCTGTGCGAGAAAGTGAGAGAAAAGCTGCCAAGCTGCATTTTAGTCAGTTGGGCAACAGTGAAAATTTTCTTTTAGAGGTGGAAAAAAGGTAAGACAATTCTTTACAAAAAAAAAAAAAAAAGTTTTAGTTTGGTTCGGACATAGACAGCAGTGAATTCCTACTTAATGTCTTCATTTTCAGCAGAAATCTCCACAAGTTGTAAGAATCCTCAGATCAGGAAAAAGTATCTCTTCAACATACTGAAATTTCTCTGGGATGAGAATCTGGCCCTCAGAGGGAACATTTCTGCTTTCTTGAACTCTTGGGTCTGCTTTGGATATAATTATTTTTTTAAAAAAAATTTTATTTATTTGAGTGAGAGGAAGAGAACAAGCTGGGGGGAAGGGCAGAGGAAGAGGGAGAAGCAGACTCCCTGCTGAGCAGGGAGCCTGATGACATGAGGGGCTGGGATCATGACCTGAGCCTAAGGCAGATGCTTAACCAACTGAGCCACCCAGGTGCCCCTGGAAATAATTTTTTTTTAAATTTTTATTTATTTGAGAGAGAGAGAGAGAGAAACAGCATGAGAGGGGATAGGGTCAGAGGGAGAAGCAGGCTCCCCGCTGAGCCGGGAGCCCGATGCGGGACTCGATCCCAGGACCCTGGGATCATGACCTGAGCCGAAGGCAGTCGCTTAACCAACTGAGCCACCCAGGTGCCCTGGAAATAATTATTGATAATTCTCTAAAGCTGCTGTTCAAAGCTTATAGATAGGGATACCATGAGATATCATCCCCATAAATGCTTACCAACTCTTTCTTGGAGTTATGAGTACATGGTCTTTTCCTATTGAATTAGAAGGTTTACATTACCAGGGAGATTAATTTGTTAAAAGGTAAAGGAAATGTTTTTCTACAAAATCAAAAGTAAACAGACCTTGAAGCTCTAAAGTATCTGAATGGTAGATTTTTCTACTTCTTGTTACTAAAATCTGATTAAAATAAGATACCATATCTTCTACTCCAAAACTCATGCTCTTTATTTTTAAAAAGTAGCTTTATTATTTTTGAAAAACAGAAGTCATTTTACATATTATGTAAAATTTACATAATACAGAAAAGTGCAGTGAAAAAGTCAAAATCACCCCATATTCTGTTACCAAGAGTTAGTAATGTTTGGTATACATTCTTCTAGACATCTGTGTACCTACCAATAGACACATGTACATGTGTCTGTTAGTACTGTTTTCTGATGGTATAAGTAATGCATACTTATTGAGAATTTGGAAAGTATAGAAAAACCACAAGAAATAAATAAGCAACTCATAATTTCACTACCCAGAAGTAAACATTAATTGTAGTAAATATCTGCTTAGTCTTAGGTATATGTATGTGTGTATGTTTATATACAATATTCTATGTTATATAATCTCAAAATATACATTAATAATAAAATACATATATAATATTTATTTTATAGTAATTTGCTTCCTATACATACCATTTCTAGTTTGATAAGATATGAACATATCTCCACAACATTAAATATTCTTCTCCAGAGTGAGTTTTTTCTGTTTATTGCCTTTCCCCTCCATGAGAACTAGGACCTTGCTTGTCTTATTTGTTGCAGTATCCCTAGTGCCTCGAATAGTGTCTGACACATATAAGATACTAAGAAATAATTTGTTGAATGATGAATGAATGAAGTCAATGTTCTGTTGGCCTGGAATCTTTCTCTTTGTCTATTTCTGCTCTGATCCTTTATATGTTTTATAATGTAACCCTCAGCATTTTTAGTTCCCTATACATATTTTTTAGTTCTCTATTTTTTTTAAGATTTTATTTATTTGTCAGAGAGAGAGGAACATAAGCAGGGGGAGCAACAGGCAGAAAGAGAAGCAGGTTCCCGCTGAGCGAAGAGCCCGATGTGGGACTCGATCCTAAGACCCTGGGATCACGACCTGAGCCAAAGGCAGACGCTTAACCGACTGAACCACCAAGGCGTCCCAGTTGTCTGTTTTTTTAAGTCAAGTTTATTGAGAGTTTTACATAGAGTAAAATTCACCCTGCTATAAAAAGAAACGGAATGTTCCTTAAAAATTATTTGTATATTGGGGTGCCTGGGTGGCTCAGTTGGGCGACCGCCTTCGGCTCAGTTCATGATCCTTGAGTCCCGGGATCGAGTCCCACATCCGGCTCCCTGCTCAGTGGGGAGTCTGCTTCTCCCTCTGACCTTCCCCCCTCTCATGCTCTCTCTCTCTCTCAAATAAATAAATAAAATCTTTAAAAAAAAATTATCTGTGTATATATTTTGTGAACTAATTCTTATTTTAATTTGTTGGGGGTACCTTGTTTGTTACAGGAATACAGAGATGAATTAATGTATAATTGAATACATTTCCTAGTAAGGCAGATAATTAGCACTATCATATTTCCGTTTATCATAGTTACCATATGATGATTGCAAAAGCAGAGGTAAAATGTTACTTAAGTGCCCAGTCCTAGCATTAATATCTTATAAGCTCTCCGACCTTGGGTAAAGATTTTTTTAAGTCTTTCTGAATCTGAGTTCCCCCAACCTATAAAATGGAGATAATGGATAATAGGGGAGCTTTTATGATTAAATCAAATGGTGGGTGTAAAGTGCCTGGCTCATAGTCTAGGCTGTCTGTACTTCCAATCTGTACTTACTATACTTACATCTTACTATACTGTATCAATCAAGAGCAAACATTTACCTCTCATCTTTTTTTTTTAAACTAATGACTGTAGTTGCTCCCAGTACAGTTCTTGGCAGCAGAACCTTACTTTCTGTGTCCTATGAATTTTTTAATTCAAAAAAGAAAATATCTTATTCCCTTAATCATTTAGACCTAAGTTTGTATCAAGAAAACAGAGTGTGTAAGTCCTGAATTTTCTGGCTTTCATACTTTTTTTTTTTTTTTTGAAGATTTTCTTCAGATATTTAGAAAGAGAGAGCACACACATGCGCAAGTAGGGGGAGGGGCAGAGGGAGAGAGAGAATCTCAAGCAGACTCCCTGCTAAGCCCAGAGCCTTACGCAGGGCTCAATCCCATGACCCTGAGATCATGACCTGAGCTGAAATCAAGAGTTAGACGCTCAACCAACTGAGTCTGGCTTTCTTACCTTAAAGACTGAACTATGGTGTCCTTCTCTCTCACTATTCCCAGTAACAATATTATGGCTTTAAAAAATGGGTTTAACTGAAATATTTGTGAAATTAATATTTTCTAGAACATTTGAAAAATCTGATTACCATGAATTAATGTTTTCTTTTTTTTTTTTTGAATTAATGTTTTCTAAATAGCATTTACTGGTGATCTCAGAAACCTTCTTTTGAGCTTTTTTTTTTTAAATTTGAATTTTAAATAAATTATTCTATGTGGCAGCTCTAGGGAGAAGACAATGAAAAACTTTGTGACAGATGAGAGCTGTGCATCAAAAGTCAGTGCCGATGTTGATAACAGAATTGAAACTGGTAAGCTTTCTAGCTTTGATCACAAAATGCTTAAAACATTAGTTATTTCAGCTTTTGTGCCCAGTGTTGAGTAGGATGAAGACAAAATAGTTGAGAAATAGCAGATTTGAAATAAGCACCAGATTTACTGACTGTTTTTCCTCCTTTCTCTCACTGCCAGAAAAGGCCCTATTTATTGAGCAGGCCTCAATTGAGCAGTATAGAACCCGTCAAGTACAAGCTGTACTCAGAATTCAATTTCATTTACATCAATTTACATCATTAGTACATTCTGAAAATTGCATTGCCAGTCCCCATGGCCTCTGAGCATTGATTGCTAAGGTGATTGATTCATTAGCCAGAGACTCATGACTCATCTGCATCAATGCAGCTCAGACCCTGGGCCTTCTGGGTTTCTCTACTTTGAATCTTTGCAGCTGCAGAATCTCTTGTGTTTGTGCTATTTTCCTGGTGAATGTTGCCTGTAAGCACTGTTGGTAACCTACTAGGATTAGAAGTGGTTATGCCACATTTAATGATCATGGCACAGGTGAGGAGAAAGCTTTTCGTGAGAGGAATTGCATACAGTGGACACTTATGGATAACTTGGCACTCATCAGATGACTTTTTACTTGAGGAAACTATTCTATAGAGGCCTCTGTCCCTTTGAAGGATACACCAAATTATTTGCAACCTCTAAAAATTAATCCCTAAAATCCCAGCAATAACTTTAATAGATGGACTATGTAGTTTAGACATTAAGAATTTCCAGTTTATAACATAAAGTATGTTATTTTCTTTACTACTTATCTATCCATGTGGACACTAATTACAAGTCATTTTTATGTGATTTCATGGTAAAATAAGCCATAGTGAAATATGATTTTTATTTTTTCTTTCTTGGAAATCTCAGTGCACATATGTCATGGAGCATGGATTGCTTTATTTCATTTTAAATAGCATTTTTTATATTTAAAATTTGATGAAATTCTGGGGTACCTGGGTGGCTCAATCAGTTAAGTGTCTGACTCTTAATTTCAGCTTGGGTTGTGGTCTCAGGGTCATGGGATTGAGCCCCTCATTGGGCTCTGTGGTCAGCAGGGAGTCTGCTTAAGATTCTCTCTCCCCAAGATTCTCTCTGTCTCTCTCTCACCTGTGTGGCTCAGTCGGTTGAGCATCTGCCTTTGGCTCAGGTTAGGGTTAGGTGGGATCGAGTCCAGCATCAGGCTCCCTGCTTGGCGGGGAGTCTGCTTCTCCCTCTCCCTCTGCCTGCCACTCCCCCTGCTTATGCTCTCTCTCTCTCTGTCTCTCTCAAATAAATAAGTAAAATCTTTAAAAAAAAAAAAAAAAAAAAAAAAAAGATTCTCTCTCTCTCTCTGCTCCTCCCCCAATCAAGCAGTCTCTTAATTAATTAATTAAAAAATAACACAGTGGGGATTCTGCTTAGGATTCTCTCAATCTCCCTCTGTCCATCCCCTCCCTGCTCATGTGCTCTCTAAAATAAATAAATATTTTAAAAAATAAAATAAAATTTGATGAAATTCTCTTTTTTTTTTTTTAAGATTTTATTTATGTATTAGAGAGTGTGCATGTCGGGAGGGACAGAGGGGGACGGAGAAGGAAAGAGAATCTCAAGCAGACTCCTTGCTGAGTGTGGAGCCTGTCTCAGGGCTTGATCTCACGACCCTGAGATCATGACCCGAGCAGAAACCAAGAGTCAGCACTTAATCTACTGAGCCACCCAGGCACCCCTGATGAAATTCTATTGTAATAATTTTGGAAAATACTAAAAAATATGAAGAACAACATTTTAATCACTCATAAGCCTGTCCCCTAGAGAGAATCCCAATTAATAATTTGGTATACAGCCTTGTGTTTTTTCTAGGTAAAAACATTTATATATCCATTTCCAGAATGATGAAGATACATTGAAGTATAATTTGCTTCTTTTTGTATGAGCTGAGTTTGACTTCATTTATGTCATATTACATCATTAGCACACATAAAGGTTCATCCCATAAATTAAAATGTTTTAAAGTGCATAGTCTCAGGGCATCTGGGTGGTTCAGTCGGTTAAGTGTGTGGGATTCTTGGTTTTGGCTCAGATCCTGATCTCATGGGGCATCGGGCTCGGTTCTCAGCAGGGATTCTGCTAGAAGATTCTCTCCCTCTGCTCCCCCCCCCCACACTCTCCTGTCCACTCTCTGTCTCTCAAATAAATAAATCTTTTTTTTTAAAAAGGTGTATAGTCTCTACTGAGAACAAACTACTTTACCAGACACAGGGCCCATTTCTAAAGGTTCTTGGAAGCTCCAGCTGTTGCCTGGATTTTTTTTTAATATAAAATTTATGTTGCAACTTTGAAACGTTAAAGAGCTTTGCTTTCTACTGAAAATTATGTTTGTGCTAGACCCCTGGGGAGTGTTGCCTGTAAGCACTGTTGGTAATCCAGTATGACTAAAGTGGTTATGCCATGTTAATGGTTGTGCCACAGGCTAGGAGAAAGCTTTCTGGAGAACAGTTCCCACTAGCTCAGTTGTTCCAAACAGTGCTTTTCCACCAATCATTTAGAATGATACCCATTAGCATGGCTACTATCAAAAACCCAGAAAATAACACATGTTGGCAAGGATGTGGAGAATTGGAACTGCTGGTCCAATTGTTTGGTGGAAATATAAAACGGTACAGATGCCATGGACAGCAGTATGGCAGTTCCTGAAAGAATTAAAAATTACTGTATGATGCAGTGATTCCACTTTAGGGCCTATTCCCAAAGAAGTGAAAGCAGGATTTTGAAGAGGTGTTTGTATACCCATGTTCATAGCAGCATTATTCACAACAGCTAAAACATGGAAGCAATCCAAGTGTCCGTCAACAGATGAATGAATAAGCAAAATGTGATATACACAAACAATGGAATATTATTCAGCCTTAAAAAGGAAGGAAATTCTGACATATGCTACAACATGGACGAACCTTAAGGACATTATGCTAAGCAAAATTAGCCAGTCACAAAAAGACAAGCATTATATGATCCCACTTACATGAGGTACTTAAAGCAGTCAAAATCACAGAGAGAGAAAATAGAATGGTGGTTGCCGGGGGCTACAGGGAGGGGGAAGTAGGGAGTTATCATTTAATGGATATAGTTTCAGTTTTATAAGATGAAAAGAATTCTGAAGATGATGATGGTGATGGTTGCACAACATTATGAATGCATTTAATACCACTGAACTGTACACTTAAAAATGGTTAAGATGGTAAATTTTGTGTTATGTGTATTTAGCCACAACAAAAGTAATTGGGGAAAAAAACCCCAAAACTATGGAGACAGTAAAAAGATCAGTGGTTGCCAGGCTAGAGGGGAGGAAGGGATGACTAGGTAAGGGTGTACCTTCATTCTTTTGCATGAGGGGTGGGACATGGGTAGCTGTTACTGATACTGCCAAGAGCTAAAATTGACTGAAGTTAACTTCCATTTAGCTTCCAGGTCTTCCCCTGGAAATTGCAAGCCTTCAGTAGACTCCAGAATTCCAAAATAGTTACATCAGACAGATTCTGCCAGTGTAATTGTTGCCTCAGTGGAGGACAGATGCAGGGGCTGCTTACTCTGCCATCTTCCCCTGTCTCCATAGTTTTGTCTTCTCCAGAATGGCATATAGTTGGAATCATTAAGTATGTAGCCTTTTTAGATTGGCTTCTTTACTTAGTAATATCCATTTAAGGTTCCTTTATGTCTTTTCATGGTTTGATAGCTCCTTTCTTTCTAGTGCTGAATAATATTCTGTTGTCTGGGTGTACCACACTTTATTTATCCATTCACCTACTGAAGGACATCTTGGTTGCTTCTAAGTTTTGGCAATTTTGAAAAAAGCTGCTATAAACATCCATGTGTAGTGTTTGTGTGGACATAAGTTTTCAACTCCTTTGGGCAAATACCAAGTGTTTAATTTTATAAGAAACTGCCAAACTGTCACCCAATACAATCTGCTTTTTAAAATATCTTTTTATATACTGAGCTTCTTAAATTGAAGTTTCTCAAACTGGATTCATATTCTCAGAGTTTGTGAGAATATTGAGTTTGAGAAACACTGATGTGGATGGGCACAAGATATAGAAGCTCAGACTGTGCTAAGAGCGTACCTGAAAAGGTTTTGTGGCAGGTGTGGAAACAAAGTCCTCAGCCATTAAAGGCTGTGGAACTCTGGGATCGCCTAAGAGGTTGGTGGGATTGCTGTGAATAGCAGTGTGAAAGTGGCAATGAGTATAGCAGGTCATAGTTGAGTGATCATGTGGTTTGGATAGGTTTATGTTGGGTAGAAGGTCAGATTATTGGAGAACAGTGAGTGCCTTACTAAAGATAATTTACATGGAAATAGCGCATATATTCTGTGAGTTGAAAGGGGTCCTGCTCACTCTTTTAGCCAGTTCCTTTTACCTTTTAGTAGAATTACACCTAAAATATATTGATCTAATAGGTATTTTATTTTAAAACAGCAAAGAGGGGCAGCACCTGGCTGGCTCAGTTGGTAGAGCATGTGACTCTTGGTCTCAGGTTTGTGAGTTCAAGCCCCACGTTGGGTATAGAGATTACTTAAAATAAAATCTTTAAAAAAATAAAATAGCAAAGAAAAATTCATCGCAATCAAACTTCTACAGGAATGAAAGCAGCAATATCTATAGTAGCCCAAAAGTCCATCAGCTGATGAATGGATAAACAAAATATGGTATATCCATAAAAAAAAGAATGAAGTACTGATACATCTACAATGTATATCTTGAAAACATCACGTTTAGTGATAGGAGCCAGACACAAAAAGCCAAATATCATGTTATTCCATTTATATGAAATGTCCGGAATAGGAAAGTCCATAGATAGAGAAAGTATATTGATGGTTGCCAGGTGCTGGCAAGGAAGAGAGAATTGAAAGTGACAGCTAAATGAGTTTCTTTTTGGATAATGAAATCAGATCGTGGTGATGGTTGACAACTTTGTGAATATCCTGAAAATCACTGAGTTGTACACTGTAAAAGGGTTAATTATAAGGTATATGCAAATAAAGTTAAAGATTCCTTCCCCCCCCAAAAAGTGATTTTATAGCATTTGATAATTGATTGAAATTTGAGATGAATGAGAGACAAAGAATTAGTTTCTATCTTGAGGGATTGATTGAATAGTAATGCCAGTACTGAGATGTGGTTTAGAGTGGAGGGTGGGGAGCATCAGTAGCAGCAGGCCTGGAAGTGAAAATAAAGAGCTGGTTTAGAAAATACTTCTTCTTTGTCTAGGACAGGGGCACTCCTTGGAGACAGTTCAAAAAACTTAGGTCTGGACATCAAAAGAGAGATCAGAATTGAGATGGAGATTTTGGGTCATCCAGGGTGCCTGGGTAGCTCAGTCAGTTAAGTGTCTGCCTTTGGTTCAGGTCATGATCTCAGGTCCTGGGATCGAGCCCCACGTTGGGATCCCTGTTCAGCAGGGAGCCTGCTTCTCCCTCTCCTCCTGGCTCATGCTCTCTGTTGCTGTCTCCGTCTCTTTCTCTCAAATAAATAAATAAAATCTTTAAAGAAAAAAAAGATTTTGGGTCATCCAAATTTAGGTGATAAAGAGAAGGTATGGGAGCACTCAGCAAAGAACTTGGATATTGGGGAATTTGAAAGAAAAAGAACCTGTGAATCTGGAAAAAATATAAGTACAGTAAAAGAAAAACCAGGATGGAGCAGGGTCTTGGACACCTGGGAAGTGTTAAGTATTGTTCTGTATGATGAAGTTAAGAGGAGGCCTGAACCCAAAATCACAGCTTACTTACCATTTTCATTTTCTACTTAGAATCAGGTTAAGACCAGTAATTTCTGCTTTACTTTGTTTTATTTATTTTTTCTGTTACTAGTGCAATAGGAGCCAGAGAACATAAACTTTGAGAGCTTTGAGAGCTTAAAAGTAGTTCTATCAAATACAAAGGTGAAAGAGCATTTTATATTGAAGTAATAGGAAATTTCAGTCCCAGAAGGCAACTCAGAAGTAGGAAGCATTTTAGAGCCCCAAATGGCCTGAGGGACTGGATGTTCAAAAACCTGGCTTTATTCACTGTGTATTCTCAGTTGCCTTGGCTTACAGCAGCTTTCTGTTGCCAGAGCCAGATGAGAACTAGCAGAAGAGCACAGTGTTTGACTAAGGCCCAAGTTTTTGAAACTATCTTAATTCTTACATAATCCTGCTGGGGGAACAAACCTCTCTAAACAAGAAACTCTTATTTTCATCCAAGTTCCCCCAGAAGACTCAAGGTCCCCAAATTGTACAATTAATAAGTATTGATCAAGAATGTGCAGGGGCGCCTGGGTGGCTCAGTCAGTTGAGCGACTGACTCTTGGTTTTGGCTCATGTCATGATTTCAGTCGAGATGGAGCCTCATGTTGGGCTCCATGCTCAGCGTGGAGTCTGAGATTCTCTCTCACTCTCACTCTGTCCCTCCCCCTCCTCACCTGTGCACACTCTCTCTCTCTCTAAAATAAATCTAAAAAAAAAAAAAATGTGCAAAAACTTCTTTTTTTTTTTAAAGATTTTATTGGGCGCCTGGGTGGCTCAGATGGTTAAGCATCTGCCTTCGGCTCAGGTCATGATCTCAGGGTCCTGGGATCGAGTCCCGCATTGGGCTCCCTGCTCCTTGGGAGCCTGCTTCTCCCTCTGCCTTTCTCTCTCGCTCTGTCTCTCATGAATAAAAAAAAAAAAATCTTTAAAAAAAAAAATTTTATTTATTTATTTGACAGAGAGTGTGAGAGAGCACAAGCAGGGGGAACGTTAGAGGGAGAGGGAGAAGCAGGCTCCCCGCCAAGCAGGGAGCCCCATGCGGGGCTCTATCCCAGGATGCTGGGATCTCGTGATCTGGGCCGAAGGCAGGCGCTTAACTATCTGAGCCACCCAGGCGCCCCCAAAAACTTCTCTATAAGCATTCCAATCTAATAAAAATCCTAACTGGCTCTTTTTGATAACAGTTTCTAGGCTGGCCAGGACTAGGATATAGTTTTGTTTGTTTTTAAGATTTTATTTTTAAATCTCTATACCCAGTGTGGGGCTCGAACTCACAATCCAAGATCAAGAGTTGCACGCTCCACTGACAGCCAGCCAAACACCCCCGATTACCTTGTTTTAACCTTACCTCAACCCTAAGAGATAGGTAGTTTAGATTTTATCATCACTGTTTTACAATGGAGAAAATCAGAGAGGTTAAGCAGTTTGCCCAAGTTCACATGGTTTCCAACTGGTGGCACCAGAACTAGCTCTCAGTCTTGTGACTTCCCTGCCAGTATCTTTCCATAAGACATGTTGCCTTTGAAGTCTGGTCAGTGCTTCATTGTATTCCTTTTCTTTTAACACAGACTCAAACAAAGGACTTTTTATTCCCTTCCCCAACCGGGAAATAAAGGATTCCCTAATGAGTACTTCTGCAACCCAGGGCAATGGTATACCAGATCAGAAATTAGACACTTGCCCACTGGGAACACAGGTAATGTATTCACTTTCCTGTTGATCTGTTGACTAGTCAATGATTAATACTAACAATTCATTGACTTTCAATTATTTATGAAGGTCTAGGAGGACTTGTTTGATGAAGGCATTTTAGGCCCTTTAAAAGGAAAGTAGGGCAGACAGGATGCAGAGGACCTCCTCCATTAATTTCAATCTCCCCTTTCCTCTCCCCTACTAGGCCATTATCAAAAGTGGTATATTTATACATACAACTTTTAGCACATGTTAGGCCAGGTATTATGGCTCTCAAACAGGGATACAACAGTTAGAAGTTTTGGCTGGTTTTAAAATTTCTCCTCTCTACTCAATGTCTCCATCTCCTGTTGACTTACTCCTTACGTTTTTCTCCTCTGGCTTTTTTTTTTTTTTTTTTTTTTTTTTTTTTAGATTTATTTATTTATTTGAGAGAGAGAGAAAGAGAGCATGACCCGGCGGGGAGAAAGAGAGAGGAAGCAGACTCCCCGCTGAGCTTGGAGCCCCACGCAGGACCCTGAGATCATGATCTAAGCCGAAACCGAGAGCCGGAGGTTCAACCTACTGAGCCACCCAGGCACCGCTATCTCTGACTTTTAATTACTGCATCTTAACATCTCAAGGGTGGCTTTCCCAAAGCTGCCTCTTAATTGGAACATAAAAGAAGAAAAGGGGTAAAGATGGCATAGAAGTTGTGGGCATTGGGGAGGTAGAGATTGTGCAAGATGAGGCAAGAATTAAGAATGAGTTTTTAGGGATGCCTGGGTGGCCAGTCAATTAAGCATCTACCTTTGGCTCATGTCATGATCCCAGGGTCCTGGGATTAAGTCACTCAACAGGCTCCTTGCTCATTGGGGAGCCTGCTGCTCCCTCTGCCTGCTGCTCCCCCTGCTTGTGCTCTCTCTTTCTCTATCTCTGACAGATAAGTAAATAAATATCGAAAAAAAAAAAAAATAAGTTCTTAGTGAAAAAATTGGTGGGAGGGGGATACAACCATTATATAAGACTCATCTGTATGAGTGAGTATGATGCAGGAAGCAGAACTACTTTATATTCAACTTCTCCTTTTGTCTGCATTTTTTTTTTTTTTGATGAATTATGAGCAATGAAATTCCTGAAAATAGCTAGAAGGAGAAAAAAAAGAATCAAGGTGCCTGGGTGGCTCAATTGGTTAAGCGACTGCCTTCAGCTCAGGTCATGATCCTGGAGTCCCGGGATCAAGTCCCACGTCAGGCTCCCTGCTCAGCAGGGAGTCTGCTTCTCCCTCTGACCCTACCCCCTCTTGGGCTCTCTCTCTCAAATAAATAAATAAAATCTTAAAAAAAAAAAAAAAAAGAATGAAGGGCTCTGATTAATCCACATTTGGATTATCAACACTGTACTAGTAAAAAGTTAGTAAGATTTTTTTTTTCAGTTTGAGTTTACAATACCTTCATCTTATAAAAAGACAGATTAGGGGGCGCCTGGAAAGCTCAGTTGTTAAGCGTCTGCCTTCGGCTTAGGTCATGATCCCAGGGACCTGGGATTGAGCCCAGTGTTGGGCTCCCTGCTCAGCGGGAAGCCTGCTTCTCCCTCTCCCTCTCCCCTCTGCTTGTGTTCCCTCTCTCTCTGTGTCTCTCTCTGTCAAATAAATAAAATCTTAAAAAAAAAAAAAGATTAATATTTAGTTGATTCCTTTGTTTTTGGATATTCTCTTTAGGTAACTTAGAAACTATCTCAATTACTATTTTAAAATAGTATTTGTTTTAAAGGAAATGTCTAGTATGGTCACATCTGGATGCCCATCAACTCTCTTTTCCTAAACATTCAACTTTTTTTCCTTGCAGGAAGTGGCAAGAAGGGAGATCCCAAGTGACAATCACCAGGAAGATGGTAAGTATTTTGTTCAGGGAATATTTTTCTCCACACTAATCAGAGAAACCTAGAAGTGATGAGATTTGGGAGAAGATGGAGATGTCTCAGCCCTGGGGCCCTGTAAGGTCAACTAACTCTGCTTTTGTTGGGGGCTGCCCTGGATGCTTAGTGACCTGTGAGGCCTTTCTGATTGAAGAGTGAATATTCTGACTTCCTTTGTTCTTGACTTTTTTACTGGCTGGCTCTTCCTTGTTTCTTTTTCTTACCTTTCTTGCCCTCTTTTGGATTTATTATGTTTTTATTCCATTTTTTTCTCTCTACTGGTTTATTTATAAGTTATACACTGTTTCAATACTTTTATTATTATTATTCCCCAAACTACAATATGTGCCCTTAACTTATATAATTAAAAAATTAATAACTCTTGTCTTGGATAATTTAAAGACCTTAAAGTACTTTACTCATTTCAGTCTCTCCTGATTTAAATATTATTATTATAGATTTTAGTTCTCTATATTTTCAAACCTACATGAAATTGTTCTTATACAGTCAATGTTCATCTAAATTTATCTTTGTATTTACCACTTTGTTCTTCATTTCTTTTTTCATCCTAGATTTCCCTTCTGAGGTCAGTTTTCTCTAGTTTATAGTATGTCTTTTAGAATTTCCTTTAGTGTGGGTTTATTCTGTTGAAGTCTTTCCGTTTTTGTTTGTGTGAAAACGCCTCTATTCTACCATCATTCTTTTTTTTTTAAGATTTTATTCATTTATTTGATAGAGACACAGTGAGAGAGGGAACACAAGCAGGGGGAGTGGGAGAGGGAGAAGCAGGCTTCCCAGCGAGCAGGGAGCCCAATATGGGGCTCGATCCCAGGACCCTGGGATCATTACCTGAGCCAAAGGCAGACGCTTAACAACTGAGCCACCCAGGCGCCCTTCTACCATCATTCTTAAAGAGTATTTTGGCCAGGTATAAATTTCTAGGTTGGCAGTGATTTCTTTCAGAATATTGAAGGTATTCCACTGTATTCTTTTGTTTTTGCTTTCGAAAAGTCAGCTGGAGGTCTGTCACTCCTGCAAGGATAATCTGTCTTTTTTTCTTTGGTTGCTTTTAAGATTTTCCAATTGTCTTTGGTTTTCTTCAATTTTGGTATGATATGTGGATTTCTTTTTATTTATCCTGTTTGGTATTTATTACACTTGAATCTGTGAATTGTGTCTCATTAATTCTGGAAAGAGCTTCAAATATTGTTTGTGTCTTAGTCTTTCTATCTGTCCTTCTGGGACTCTTGATTAAAAAAATATATAGTAGAGATCTTTACTTTGTCCTCTTTCTCTTTTTCTCTTATTCTTTTATATTTTTGGGTGGGGGGGTTCTGATCTGCATTCTGGATAATTCCTTCTGACCCATCTTTCAGTTCACTAACATTTTCTTCAGCTGTGTCTAATCTGCTGTTAATCTTGTCTGCTGAGTTCTTAATTTTAATAGTTCTATTTTCAATTCTCTAAGTTTTATTTTGTTCTTTTTCAAGTCTGCTGTGTCAGTTTTTATAAACAGAAAATTTCCAGCTTGTTTTATATTTCTTTATACATAGTAAACATAGCTGTTGCATAGGCTATATCTGTTAATTCCAGTATCTGAAGTTTATTGTCTTTTTTTCTACTCATACTTATGTTATCTTGTTTCCTTTTTTGTTCCTTTGCTTTGGCTACCTTTGCTTTGGCTATCTGCTACATATTTGAAAAACTATTTATAGGAATTATTTAAAGTCTTACATAAAGGTATCTTTTCCAGATCAGATTTTCATTTGCTTCTACCAAGTACCTGGGACACTATCATTCTGGGATCACTTAAATCCAAGCTCAAAGCTTAAGGTTCTCCATTAATACAGATGATACAAACCTGGATTACCAGTCAGTACAAGGGCTGGCTTACTTCCAGTTTACTTTTACTCTGAAGGTTGCATTCTGCTTGGGGTTCCATCTTAATGTGTATGTGGGGAGAATGGGGCGGGGGTAGGGATGGTTTGTCATAACTCCTCACTTTGGATGGATGTTGAACTTCTGTCCCTGTTATCCTAAAACTTCTGAGGGTAAATGTGACTTTCAGTGCTAGTCTTACCTACCTATGTGTGTCCTTGCTATTTCCTAGATTTTGGCCTAGAAAATCCTCACCAGCTAACAAGCTCTTTGATTCTTTAAGAACATGTATCATCCCACTTTCTTAATGTCTTCGATAAGAGGCACAGTCTGAATTATCTAACCTCATCACTTGTTAGAATCTTTTTGTTACATAAAAATATTGTTCTACAACCTTTCCCTCACTGTGTAGGCTGGCCCTGGGTAAAACGTTGATATTCTGTAGGTCCTATAGAGATAAAAAGTGCTTGATTCTGCTTTTTTTAAGTTAATGTGACTAACTCAGTTATGCTTCCTAAGGAAGACCTTTAAGCATATGAAACTCTGAAAACTCCAAAGAGTGCAAAGAATTCTTCTACTTGCCCCACTCTGACACTCTTTAGAGACAACATACAGCTGTCTGAAAGAAATGCTTTATAGCTGGTTAGGGATTTTCATAGTTTTGGATTCCCTGCCATTTAATTGGCTTAGGATACTGGTTCCCAGTGTATGAACCTAGAACCTCTGAGTGGAGTTTGGGAGTGGGGGTGGGCTTAGCATTATTGTGAGGAGTCTATGAAATCATAAACCTACCAACTATTGTCTATAGACTGAAGACATAAGATCACAACTCTTGTCATATGGGGTACACCAAAATTTTTATATGAAAACAGCATCTAGAAAAACTCTGATACCATAGTTTTAGGAGGAAATGCCTAAGGGATTAGGTTGACATGAAATTTATCTCCAGAATGTTAAAGATTCTTTACTGTTTACACAGTGTCCAACATATTTTGTTGTTGTTCCATGTAAAAGTCCTTTTATCATTTTATGCTACTATTTATCAAAATTATAAACCATCTCTTCCTGAGAACTTTTTCTGGTTGGCAGAGGTATGTCTAGTGAACAGAGGTATCCTGAGCCAAGAAGAATTCTCATTGTATTTTGTGTTTTCTTTTCCCCTTGGTGGTGGTTAGAATTTAGACACTACTCTCCTCGTCAGTCCACGGTCCGATCCCCAGAGAAGATGTCTCGAGAAGGCTACCGACTATCTTTTTTGGACAATAAGTCTTCAGGTTCTTCTCCAGAAAAGGATTTGATACTAAAATCTGATACTTACCAGCTTACCCATGATGTCTCATTGGGTAAACGTCTGGATGTGGGTGATTCTAGCCAGATCCATCCCTTTCAGTTACCTGCAGATGTTGGTCTAGAAAATTATGATAGTCATTATTCTCACAATCTATCCCTGCATGGAAGTCTTGGAAAAAGGCCTCAGAGAAGCAAGAACTACCGAGAATATAGCATAAAGCCTTCAAATGACATGAAGGCCAGCGCATCTCATTCCTGTGGAGACTTACTGACTTCTCTGTCAAACCCTGACTCTGGCACCGGAAGGCTTTTGAAGCTTAGTTCAGGTAATAGCTTCCTGTCAGTGTATAGGCCTTTTTCCTAGTCATGAGATAGAGGTATAACTGGAAACTTGGGAGTTAACATTTCTTAAATTGTATTAGCATTTCTTAAATTTGATTTTGGGGTATCAGTAGCCAGTGAAACCTCCAGAAATCTGCAGGATATAAATTTAACATGATAGATACATTATTAAAGAAAACTTGTAGACATGTGAGCTTCATAACTATGTACTATTATAGCTAAATAGAATACCAGGACATATTTCTAGTTGTGTCTAGTCTTCTCTGGCCACAGTCAGAGCAATATACTTCACATACTACTTAACAGTGAAGACAGAAGAGATGTATGTTTGTTTTGTTTTGTTTTTTAAGATTTTATTTATTTATTTGACAGAGTGAGAGACAGCAAGAGCAGGAACACAAGCAGGGGGAGTGGGAGAGGGAGAAGCAGGCTTCCCGTGGAGCAGGGAGCCTGATGTGGGGCTCGATCCCCGGACCCTGGAATCGTGACCTGAGCCAAAGGCAAACGCTTAAAGACTGAGCCACCCAGGTGCCCCAGAAGAGATGCATGTTATTCTCCAGCCCCTGCTTACTGCTCTCATGTAGGATTGGAGTATGTGGACAGTTGGATTTAACCAGAGTTGGGATTTTGTCGGGTGGAGAGGGGGAAGGGAAAGGATCCATAGAGTTGAGGGTGTATAGTGGGGAGAGGTTATTATGACCATTGGACTCCAGGTGGGGTAAGGTTGAAGTGAGACAGGAGAGAGTTGAAAGGCAGGGTCATCTCCTAGCCTGTTTCCTTCACAGATCTGTATGCCACAACCCATTTCAACAGTGACCCTGCTCTGCTGGTAAATGTAGAGCAACAATTATCTACCAGTCTCAGTGACTTAACACCAGCACCTGGCTCTTTGCCAAACAACTCTGCCCTGGGAGACTCTCTACGGACACGGCTGTTGCCTACTGGGACCTCAGAACACAGAGAGAATCTGACCAAGAGGTCATTAAGCCCATCGAGGAGAGGATTCAAACGGAAGGACAATATCCCTGCCACCCTGAATCCAAAGATTGGTTTCAGAGATGCTACGGGAAGCGAGGCAAGTATTGGTTTGTTTGTGCTTGTGCGACAAACACATCAGATCCAAGACCACAATGGCGTTCTGTTGAGGGTGGCAATGATTCTGACCAAGGGTACTACAAATTCAAAGGGATTTTTAGAGGCCAGTGGTTAATACTGCCAGGCCAAAGCCTGTGAGTCTTCTGCCCTTAGGAAAGGCATTCCCTTTCTGCTGCATTTTCTCATTTCTGTCACAGTGAGAACATTCCCTAATCTACTTCCAGAGCATAAATTTTGTGGGGACTCTGATAATAAGAAGTGACAGATTTACCACAGCAGGGAATGCAGAAGTTGCCAGGGGCTCTGGGTTGGCTGAAGAGTGAACTCCGTAGCACTGATGTTTTTAATCTTAAAATCTTAAATCTTAAATTATTCAAAGTTGCTTTTTATAAACATACAAACATATATCTCATATCTAAGTGAATACAAAATAATTTTGAGTTTTGGGGCGTCTGGGTGGCTCAGTTGTTTAAGCGACTGCCTTTGGCTCAGATCATGATCCTGGAGTCCCGGGATCGAGTCCCACATCGGGCTCCCTGCTCAGCAGGGAGTCTGCTTCTCCCTCTCCCACTCCCCCCTCTTGTGCTCTCTCTCTCTCTCTCTCAAAATAAGAATAAATAAAATCTTTAAAAAAATAATAATAATTTTGAGTTTTACTGGACAGATCTACCTATACATTTTTCTATGTAAGACTCTTACTAAATAAAAAGGATCTTTAGTAGTGGGTCCAACAATAACATTTAACATAACATTTAGGGACGCCTGGGTGGCTCAGTCGTTAAGTGTCTGCCTTTGGCTCAGGTCATGATCCCAGGGTCCTGGGATTGAGCCCCATATTGGGCTCCCTGCTCGTCGGGAAGCCTGCTTCTCCCTCTCCCACTCCCCCAGCTTGTGTTCCCTCTCTCGCTGTGTCTGTCAAATGTAAAAAAAAAAATTATATATACGTTTACATATCTCGTGTGTGTGTGTGTGTGTGTGTGTGTATAACATTTAAAATGTTATAGGGGCGCCTGGGTGGCTCAGTCGGTTAAGCATCTGCCTTCAGCTCAGGTTGTGATCCCAGGGTCCTGAGATCTCTGTGTCTAGCTCCTTGCTCACTGGGGAGTCTGCTTCTCCCTCTCCCTCTTCCCCTCCCCTCCGCCCATGTTCTCTGTCTCTCAAATAAATAAATAAATAAAATCTTTAAAATGTTATAGAACATTTATGTTTATTCTATATTAACACACTAAATATAAGCTTATGAGTAAAAGTTTTTTAAATATTCCCCAGGGGTGCCTGGGTGGCAAAGTCGGTTAAGCATCTGACTCTTGATTTCATCTCAGGTCATGATCTTGGGGTCATGGGATCAAGCCCCACATCAGGCTCCACGCTGAGCCTGGAGTGTGCTTGAGATTATCTCTCCCTCTGCCCCTCCCCTCATGCTCTCTCTCTCTAAAATAAATCTTTTAAAATATAATACAATAAAATACTCCCCATTTTGGGGAGGTCTGGCTGGCTCAGTCAGTAGAGCATGCTACTATTGATCTCAGCGTCATGAGTTTGAGCATCATGTTACGTATAGAGATTACTTAAACTAAAAAATAAAAAATACTCCCCATTTTATGATACCTAATATGTTTTTAAAATGTTCTGCAAGTTTAATCTTTTTATACTACATAACTTAATATATTGAGCCATAGATGTAGGTGTCAAAACTTATTTATTGCTTTCTTCTAAAAATCTCTACAGAAAATTATAAGAGTATACTGTTATCTTTGAAATTATCCTTGAATAAGCTATATTTGCTTGGACGTATATAACATTCTATTCAAATCCAAACTGAAAGATGACCCCCCCCTTTTTTTAATGTTAACACTTTAAATGTCCAGATTCTTACTTCCCATATTGTGTAAGAATGACAAATGGTTGGTGTTTTGTTTTTTTTTTTTTTTCTTGAGCCTCTTTCTAGTGACCTGGGCAGTTTGCATGGTTTGCCAGGAAACCACAGTCCCCCGATCTCTGCCAGAACCTCCCATGTGGCCACTGTCCTCAGACAGCTTTTGGAGCTTGTGGATAAGCACTGGAATGGCTCTGGCTCTCTCCTTCTTAACAAGAAGTTTCTCGGTAAGTGAATGCATTCTCAGCTCCTGGAGAAGGGCTCAGACCTTGCTTCTGCTCTGTGTTCCTATAAAAGCCACTCAGTCCCCTTAACTTGCAAGGAAAAAATTGTTCCCATGATCACCAAAATTTGTCAGTGGCACAGTAATTGACAAATCTGCATTTTTCTTATAATCTTCCCTTGTGTACCAATTGTTTTGTCCCTTTTATGACCTTTTGGTAGTCTTGGGTAAAATGTAGAGTGATGAGATATGTAAAATAGAGTGTGGTGGTGTTAATGATTATGAAAGGATTTTATGGTCCTTGGGACAGTGCCAATAATAAATAGAATAAAAATTGGGTTTGATCATCAGAATTCTAAGATGCCTGTTGAAATGTTATGATTTGAAAAACTTGAATGAATAAATGACTTGGACTCTTCTTAGGGCTTCTTTTTTAGGAACTTGGAGGAAAAATCATACTGCAAATATTGCCCCCACGTGTTTATTGTTTAATGGAAAAAGAGTTCAAGGAGATCTTGGTGGTGGTAAACATTTAGGAAAAACTGGAAACTTTAAAGTTGTTTGGGCTCAATTTTTTTTAATTGCTAAAGGGACACACAGAAAAAGTCTTAGTATAGTTTTCTTCCCACATTGACTCTTTGCTCTCATTTTTTAGGAAATTATCCTCAGGAGCCACTCATCAGTGACTAGAGAATAGCACAGGGCTATTGAGGGTCTACTCATGAAGGTCTACTGTTGTTTCTCCATAGAAGGCATGGGATAGAATTTCTTATCCATTATGAAACACCTCTTATAGACACTTTGTAAATTCTTGTAAAAAGGAAATATTGGATTACCATATTTATCCTACAGAGCTGGTAGTTATTGACTAGGAATTCTGTGCTTTAGCTTTTAAGATTGGCCCGTGTGCCCAACCTGAATTTTTGGCAGGTCCTGCCCGAGATTTACTTCTGACTTTGGTAGTCCCTGCTCCTTCCCAGCAGTGGTGTCACTCACATCCTGAAGATATGTCAAAAACCTTCCGCAGGAGAGAGATGGAACTGAAGGAAGCTGGGCATGTGGTCCCTAATGACATGGTATGCCTCTCTCATCTTCCTTTCCTACTCTTTCTTTACTAGAATAGGACAGAGCAGCAAAACTAGAACAGCTTTGTGCCATAAAGATCATCATCACCATGAACCTAGATGTTCGGGAACCAAAATACAGAGAAGTTAGTCAAGGCAAATCAGGAATGTAAAACTTGCCAGCATAGAAACAACTTGGAGGTTCAACAGGGATGATTCCCTAATCCTAGCCCTATTCTAAAATTTCTGAAGAAAGAAAAAAGAATGACCTTAGAATGAAAATACTTAGGTTCATATTTTCAAAGGTTATGATTTAATTCCAATGAGGGAAGGCCAATATCTCTGGGATTGTCTTTCCTCCCTTCTGATGGAACAGAGAGCCCTGAAACACGGGCCATTCCTAGAGCATCAGGTTGCTGACTTTGGGAAAGGAAGAAGGGATTCATATCCTTAGGCTTTTTCCTTCTTTTCTTAACATAAGAGGATTTTCACACACCAACTTGAGTTTCTAGAAACTTTAGATAGGTGACTCAGAATTGCTGGCCACTTGTCAAAAGAAGGACTTGTCCTGCAAGAGTAGTGGATAACTCACAGGAAAGATTGCATCTCCTTGTGCTGTTTGTTTGCTGCACTTGAGCTATGTTTACCAATGAATTAAAATTCTAATGAGAAAGTCTGAGAGATGCTGACCTCCTTTTAGTTTATCACTAAACAGAGGAAAACATCTTTCAGTCTTCTAAAAGCCCTCCACAGAATTTCAGATTCTTAATGTATTTGTATTTTGTTTTCTCATCTAAAGGAAAGTTTGAAGCAAAAACTGGTCAGAGTGCTAGAAGAAAACCTCATTTTGTCAGAAAAAATCAAGCACTTGGAGGAAGGTGCTGCTACCTTGATTGTGAGTGGGCACCAGTCACACACCTATGGTGAGTTCAGGAAAGCAACATGTGGTGTCCCAAGACAACTGTTTGTTTATAGATGACCCCTTTAATAAGCTTCATCATCTAGAGGTCACATGGCTTCCTAAATGGAAACAATCATCTTGCCTCAGAGAGTTGTAATGCCAGTGGCTCGAGTTACCATATGAAGCTCTTTGTCAGTGTAAAGCAAGTACGGATGTTATTATTGTCATTATTTTTGAGATTGACACTTTCTGATTATAGCAGAAGATCATGTTCTGTGGGCACCTGGCTGGCTCAGTCGGTAGAGAGTGTGCCTCTTGAGCTCAGGATTGTAAGTTTGAGCCCCACATTGGGTGTGGAGATTACCTTTTTTTTTTTTTTTTAAGATTTTATTTATTTATTTGAGAAAGAGAGAGACAGAGTGACAGAGATAGCGAGAGAGAGAGAGCACAAGCGGGGAGAAGAGGGAGAAGCAGGCTCCCCACTGAACAGGGAACCCGATGTGGGCTTGATCCCAAGACCCTGGGATCATGACCTGAGCCAAAGGCAAAAGCTTAACCGACTGAGCCACCCAGGCGCCCCACATGTAGAAATTACTTAAAATTTAAAAAAGATCATGTTCTTTATAGATAGTTTGAAAAATATAAGGAAAGTATAATCCCATTACCTGCAATAACTGCCATTATTATTTTTGGTATATTTTCTTTCACCATATTCCTATACATATATTTTTAACTTAAAATTTGTGAGGGGCACCCAGCTGGCTCAGTCTGTGGAACTCTCGGTGTTGTGAGTTCTAGCCCCATGTTAGGTGTAGAGATTACTTTAAAATGAAATCTTTTAGGGATGCCTGGGTGGCTCAGTTGGTTAAGCATCTGATTCTTGATTTCAGCTCAGGTTGTGGTCTCTGGGTTGTGGGATTGAGCCCCACGTTGGGCTCTGCCCTCAGTGCGGAGTCTGCTTGTCCCTTTCCCTCTGCTTCTCTCCCTGCTCGTGCTCTCAATCTCTCTCTCAAATAAATAAATAAAATCTTTAAAAAAAAAAACTTTTAAAATAAATAAAATTTGTGACTTGATGTTTTAAAAATAAGTAACATACAACAAAATGCACACTTTTAAGTTAGATGAGTTTTGACAAATATATATATTTTTAATTCCATCCCAGTCAAAATACAGAACATTTCTTTTACCTCAGACCCTTGTGCAGTGAGTTTACCCTACTATCTATCCTAGGCAATCACCAATCCGATTTTTACATACTAATATTATTTATTTAATGGCAAAAGCATTTCCTGTAATATCACATGAATAATTCTAAACAATTTCCAAACATTCAGTAGACTTGAAATGAAATGCTTAAATGAAGACCTGAGTAGAAATACTTCTCTGAAATTGTTTCTTCTTTTCTGTTGGAGCTGAGAGTCTTAATGTTCATTATGATAAATAATGCCCCTCTTTTTTTTTTTTTTAAAGATTTTATTTATTTATTTGACAGAGATAGAACAAGTAGGCAGAGAGGCAGGGAGAGGGAGAAGCAGGCTCCCCGCCGAGCAGGGAGCCCGATGCGGGGCTCGATCCCAGGACCCTGGAATCATGACCTGAGCCGAAGGCAGCCGCTTAACCAACTGAGCCACCCAGGCGCCCCGAATAATGCCCCTCTTTATGTACATTAATTTCAGACTATATTCCTAGAAGTAGAGTTAGTAGCTCAAAAGATGTGGACATTTTTGGGGCGCCTGGGTGGCTCAGTTGGTTAAGCAACTGCCTTCGGCTCAGGTCATGATCCTGAAGTCCCGGGATCGAGTCCCGCATCGGGCTCCCTGCTCGGCAGGGAGTCTGCTTCTCCCTCTGATCCTCCCCCTCTCATGCCCTCTGTCTCCCATTCTCTCTCTCAGAAAAATAAATAAAAAATCTTAAAAAAAAAAAAAAAAAAGATGTGGACATTTTTGAGGGTTTTGTTGCATATTGTCAAATCACTCCCAAGCAAGGTTATTTCAATTTACATTCACTTCAGCAGTGAATGTATTTGAATGCCCTTTTCACTCCATCTTTGCCCACACTCCAGTTTTCTGTGTTTTTGGTTTTTTTTTTACTTTTTTCCCATTGTGATAAGTGAAAAATAGCATACCATTGACATCTCGATTTGTACTACTTTATTATTAGCATAGTTTAGGCCAGTATTTTAGATAAAGTCTACCCTTGGCTTAAAACATCTAGCTCAACACCCCTAAGCAAACATCATGGGCACTTGGATTTATATGAGAAAGTTGATTTGGAAGTCAGCACTGAATTTCCAGAAGAAACTCATCACTATCTGATTCTCACAAGCCTGAATAATCCAGGCATCTCCCCTAAGCTACTCTGAAAATAGATGTTTGTTCATTAGATACCTACTTTGAATCAGCCACGAGGCCCAGTACTGTATTTTGGCTTACTGGTGATAAATAGAGCTGTTGCAGCTCTGTTTTCCTCCTTCTAGAACCTTGCTACTCAAAGGGTGATCCATAGATCAGAAACATTAGCATCACCTGGGAGATTGTTAGACATGTAGAATATTGGGCTTCACCTCAGACCTATTGAATCAATCTGTTTTTAACAAAATCCCCAGGTGATTTGTAAGCATATTAAAGTTTAAGAAGTATTGTTCTAGAAGACCGACTTCCTTAGGACCAGAGTTCTTGTGCTTTTACCTACTTCATTATTGCAAGCATCGGTAACATATTTGGGGAGCTAGGTATGAGTGTCTTGACTACAAATTCAGTTTCTGCAAGCACTCATTGAGTTATTATATGTGCCTGATACAGTTCCAGATGTTTTCACAGATTCTATAAGGAGTGAAGTATCTACATTCACAAACTAAAAGGGAGAATATAGAGAACCTAGTATGTGTTGACTATGCTAAATGATGATTGAATCCTCACAACCGTGGTGGGGCAGGGTTATTAGCCCTAGTGAAACTCAGAAAAAATAAACTAATGCACAATATTAAATGGTTGAATTTTAATTCGGATCTCTCTGTTCCTAAGCCCCATATCTGCTGTCTCTAAGGGAGGGAATGGTGAATGGAGTGCGGAGACGGAGGCAGTGGGGCCCCCAATTCTTTAAGATGGCCACCTGACTACTTAAGCTCTGCTCAAAGATAGTGGCTTGAAATCCTGTTCACACCTGGCTACTGTACCCTTTGTAGATGATCTTCTGTGCAAAAACCAACAGCTGAACATGCAGGTGGCTTGCCTGAACCAGGAGCTTGCCCCGCTGAAAAAGCTGGAGGAGACAGTGGCCCTTCTCCATGAAAGTCAGAGGTAGGAGAGGGCCTATCTAGCTGGCTTCTGGAAGCAGATATTTACTTTCCTTTATCAGCTTTGTCTTATTTGATAATATCTATATCCTTTTCAAATTAACTCCATTCTATGTGTAAACCTCATGTATCTAGGTGTATCTGTGTGTAAACCTTCTGTATTCCAGAACACATGAGGGACTAAATGTCTTTGCTGGCATTGGTGGGTTACAGCACCTCAATAATAAGCAGTTTCTCACTAGATCCAACAGGACCCTTGTTTGAGTCAGCTAGCTTTTCTTGGTCACTACGTGCCCCTAAAATGGAAAGTCCCATGTATTTGTTCTCTTCAGAGGAGCTCAACAGCATCAGCCTCTTCAAAGAACGGCACCCTCAGGATGCCAGCTAGACAAATCAGAAGAAGCCTCAAGACTAGTGGTACATTTACAGAAGCTCTTGACATTTTGAATTGCAAAACACCTTCACTATGAATTTGAATGAAGTTTAAATATAAGAACCCCATCCCCAGACCTTCATCCCCAAACTTTACTTCATGAATACCTAGTGAATTAGGGTAGCTTTATGTTCAGAGAATTAGACCCAGACCCATTCTAGATGGCTTTAAAAAAAAAAAAAACTTTTCATTATAATTATTTCAAACACAAAAGTAGAGGAAGTAGCATAAAGTCATCCTTCTCAAACTGGGGTATCGGAATCACCTGAAAAACTTACTGAAATGCAGATCGCTGGGCCAGAGTTTCTGACTCAGGAGGTCTGATGAGGACAGAGAATTGCATTTCCAGTAAGTTTCCAGGTGATGCTGTTGTTGCTGATTTGGGGACCATATTTTGAGAACATTAGGGTATATCTCTTTAGGTGATGTACAAATTGCTGTATTTTAAAGTAACTTGAAATAATTCTTTTGTGTGTTGTTAAACCATCAATTCAATATACAGCCTCAATTTGTTTCATTTTGCTTTTGATTCATAAGGAATTTAATTGTTCTTATTTAATCTTGTTTTATAATTATGTAAAACATTTAAATGGCCCCAAAGTCAAATCTACAAGATGTTATCTTATTCAGACAAATATAAAAAACATACTGTTGTTTTAACATTTTATCTTAGAAATCAGTTTACAGTAGTATATAGAGTTAGTCCTCCTTCCTTTTTATAACTGCATAGGACTGCAACTGTGTTTGTCTTCTATTGATGGACATTTAGGTGGACAGTGTTTTGCTGTTATAAATAGTGTTGCAATGAACAGAATTGTGCAGGCATTTTTTTTTTTTTTGGTTAGTCTCTGATAGCTTTTAATATTACATGGTAATACAGAGTCCAAGAATGCAGTCATGACTAGCACCAATTAGTTAATTAGGATAAATTAGATGAAGTAGAAGTTAAGATTTGGGGATAGAAATTGGAGGCCTGGTCAGGTGCCAGTCTTTCAGTACTTCTACTTACCTCATCATGAAAGTGCTTTGGAAAGAATAGAACAATCACTATAAAAAACGTGAACTATGTTATTTGCTACAGTCAGTCTGGAACATAAACAACTGTAATGAAGAAAGAAACTGTCAGCCTGCTTTTAAAATAACCCACTCATAAATCGGTCAGTTCTTTCTATTTAAAGATGTTACTTCATTTTACATTTGTCTTTAGTAAACATTTCAGGTCTGAATAGCGTCTGCTTTGCTTTTATGATTTCATGACTGTCTTTTTCACCCATGCCTCAGATCCCTGGTGGTAACTAATGAGTATCTGCTGCAGCAGCTGAATAAAGAGCAAAAAGGTTATTCTGGGAAAGCACTCCTGCCTCCTGAGAAGAGTCATCATCTGGGGAGATTGTCACCCTTGGGGAAAAGCACGCTGTCTTCCTCCTCACCAGTGGCACATGACACGGGTCAGTATCTAATACAGAGTGTCTCAGACTCTGTTCCAGAGCCTAGTTTATGGAGCTAGCACTGAGCACCTTCTCTGCAGCTTCCCCTCTCAGCCTCGGGGGGGCTCTCGGTGTCATTGCCACTAGTATGGTGGTACTTACTCACAAGATTAAGAAAAAATCTTACTCCAATTATTTTGTATTGGTCCTTTTTATTTATTTATTTTTTTTAATATCTGTTCTTTTTTTTTTTTTTAAGATTTTATTTATTTGCGAGAGAGAGAATGAGAGAGAGAGAGCATGAGAGGGAGGAGGGCCAGAGGGAGAAGCAGATTCCGAGCTGAGCAGGGAGCCCGATGCGGGACTCGATCCCGGGACTCCAGGATCATGACCCGAGCCAAAGGCAGTCGCTTAACCAACTGAGCCACCCAGGCGCCCTATTTCTTTTTGTATCTCCTCCCATCGAGTCATTCTTTCTCCCTGCCCGCAGAAATACTTGGCACTTAATCCTAGAAACATTTGGCTGAAAATGTTGAAAAGGAAAAAAAAATCAGACATTTTTCTGAGTGTCACTTGAAACTATGTAGTAGAAGGTTAAAAAAGAACATCAATGACCAGGTGTGTTTTATGTTAGAACAAATTTCAGAGACTCTGTATTGATTGGTTCATCAAGCATGTTTTGAGTTTCCTCCCACCATAGTGAAAAGGTGACACTGTCTGGTTTCAGCTTAGGAGCAGCCAACAGTTTAGTTGAGAAAAGCAAAACTCATGTGATGGTATTTGGTATTGGTACCAAGCAGGTCTAAATACAAGCCCAAAGATGCCCTGGAGAGAGAAAAAGAGAGGGAGAGAGAGAGGCAAAGGAAAGAATTCCCACTCTGGGAATTGGAGAAGGCATCAATGAGGACTTGTCATATGAGTGGAAGTTTGCACAATTACAATGGTAACAGATAGAGGGGGCACACAGAGTCTCCCAGACCAAGAATGCAGAGTAGAAGAGTCTGGAGCCCCTGGAGGGATTGCAGGGCAGGGAAGATGTGGGTCATGATGCTGGGAGAATATATAACCAGGGGACCTGTCCTAGCCTGAGAGGTATGGTGTCAGGAAATGTCCGCTAAAGAAATGATCTTTTTTTAATTTTATTGTTATTTATGTTAAGGAATCTCTGTGCCCAATGTGGGGCTCAAACTTTTGACCCCAAGATCAAGAGTCACACGCTGTTCGAACTGAGCCAGCCAGTTGGAAGAGAAAGAAATGATCTTTCAACTGAGACCTGAAGAATGAATAGGAAGTCACCAGACAAAGCACAGGGCCAAGGGCAGAGGAAATGGGAAGTAACATGGTCCATTCAGGGAACTGAGGCGCTGAGAGGAGATGAGTAGAAACTAGACTGCACCACTCCTTGAAGATTTTAGATGGGAAGGCAAAGGAGTGACATTTGTGTTTGAGGAGCTTTCTCTGTAAGAGGAATGGGTTGAGGGCCATGTGGAGTTGGGGGAGAACCAAAGAGGAGGTAGAGATGTGAGAGAAGACTGGTGTGGCCCAGACCAGAGATGAAGCTTCCAAATGTTAGCTTTGGGTTCACTTTATACATGAGTACCCTGTATTTCAGACCTGAGGCATAATTTTTCTTTGACTCGTGATTCGTTGGGCATTTAAAAATCAATGGGAAAGATAATGAAAGTGGCTCTAAGTATGTTTCTGTTTCAGGATAGCCCAGGCAGCTAAGTTGCCAGAGAGCATGTAGAGGGTGAAGGACTATCAACCTAACTCCATATTGTGCTTCTCTTCATCTCCAGGGTCGTGTCAAAGAGAGACAGACAGGTGGAAAGATTACATACTTATTGCTCCCCTGACCTGGTACTCTGCAGGGAAGGAGAGCTATAGCCAAAATAATGAGACATGAAGATCACAACCAAGATCACACACTTCTAAGTTATAAATAAAATCCACAGACCTCTGAATTTAATGTGGGTTCCCAAAAGAAGCATGTACAGAGGAGCTATAAGTTTCTTTGAGGTGCATGGCCCTTTAGGAGCTCGAGTGAGCTCGTACTCTGTGGAAATAGTAAGAATCAGCCCCCTTCCTGACTTTTCTAGGCCTGCCTTGGCCCCAATAAGAGGACTCCAAAGAATGTAAGTCTTGCCCAGGTAGGGTAGCCTCAGCCTGTATGTAGCCTTGTAGCCCTGAGTTGTCATATTTCAGGGTCCTGGCACAGTACACAGGCCAACTCACTGGGAAGACCACTGAGGGAAAAATAATGAACTTCTTTCTCAACCCCCGCTCTCCCTTCCTTGCCCTATGGACATCAATAATGCCAGACCCCCAGAACGTATTTAGGGTACCTCTAAGGAGGAGCAGACTGAGTCAGTCACCTTTCACCCTATTTTCTATTCTCACTGAAAGTGGCTGGCCCTGTTCCAGGCCAGGCACCTCTCTAGGGTTGCTGGCCACGTCTGGGGAAGTCAGCTATGTTTCCTAATTTCCCTTGGTCCAGAGGTCGGGCAGGGTTGGGGGTGTCAAAGGGCCAAAGAGTTGTTGCCCTGTGGGGCTAAGTGGGCTCAACATGGAGTGGGGAAGGCTCCTGAAGCAAGTAGAAAGTAAGTGGAGGGGGATTCCTCACCCTAGGCCTTGCACTGTTGGGAGAAAAAAGGAAACCGGGCTGGGATGGAAACTGGATTCTCAGGGAAGTTCTGTGTCCAAAAGGAGGAGCAGAGCCAATCTGACAAGTGCAGCCTTCTTGCCAGCCAAACATAGAGTTTTAATGGTTCCATCCCACAGAACCTAAGCTCTCTTCCTTGCCTGCCTGCTTTGCTAGCAGGGGGACCCAAAGCTTTCCACCGTGAGGAGACTGGAAGATGGAACAGTGGTAACTGAAGGGCTGAAAGGGCATTGTTTGGCCAGTCGATGCCACATACCAGATTCTGCTAGACCCATCAGTCTTTAAGGAGTTTCCCGGCTCTGGGAGGGCCTTGATTGCTCTCAGGCTCCATCACTATTTTTCAGGAAGAAGAGGGGCTTTACTCCTATAAGGTGGAGTTTTGGGGCTCAGCCTGTTCTCTCTCTGGGCTCTTCTAAGCCATGTTGCCGGTCACAGGAGGAGCTGAGCTGCTGCTCCCCTCTACATTGGATGGTACTCTCACCTGCAGCTTACCAGCCTGGACCAATTTGCAATACAGTTAAATTCTTTTCACTATGAGGATATTTTAACAAATGCAAGCCAGCAGGATTTGGGTTTCACTCTTATTTTGCTCACTGAAGTTTGCAATTCACCAAATTCCACAAGGCTGGATAAATCATTCCTCTTACTGTTTGCTGGTGGGAGAGGTAAAGCTCTTTGAAACTCCTCCTTGGGCATAGTGATGTGGTCAGCTGAGTCAGGAGGAGCCCACAGCTGTCAGCTGTTAGGCAAGGCTCTGCTGTGGCCAGGTGCTGACCTCCCCCCTGTAATTCCCATCTCATCTCCCCAGTGTCCCTGCCCCAAGCCATACTATTCCTCTCCATCCCCACTCCAAATAGGGTTGGGCTCAAGGGACTCTGGGCATACCTGGCGCAGGAACATCCCAGAACAGTCTGGGATGAGGGAATAAACAGCTGTACTGCTTTGCTGCCTTATCCACATCAGGAAAAAAAAAAGCATTTGTGAGTATGTATCTGTTAAGCCTTTTCTGGTACCCTTGGTAATTGCCCTCTCCTGGGCAGGCACTAATTCCCATCCAGCCTGCTTGTCCGCAGGAAGGAAGGAGAGTTCGCCTCAAAGCCTTGGGTTTGGGAATAGCTATGGCCTAACACCCAGAGCCTCAGAGAAGAAAAAAGGTTGATCTGGGTTGATCTGGAAACTTCCAGGAGTCCTCAGGGACCAGAGATTTCCCCTCCCTCCTCCCAACCTGGGATGTTGAACAAATGGGAGGGAAACAGAAGCCCCTTCACTGTTGGACACCCTGTTCACATGCCAAAGGCTGGTGTTGGGTGGCAGGCTCTATCACTGGCCATCCAGCCCCGTTTTTGGAAATCAGTATTGGGGCTTGCTGTTAGAAAAAGCCTGGCCTGGGGGAAGAGGCATGGTTCTGGGCTTTATTCTGTAGAAGCCCCCTCAGCTATAAAATTAGGGAGTTGGACGATCTACTCTCTAACATTCTTACTGGTCTTGCATTTTCTGACCTTCTGAGCTAGACCCCGGAATGCCTAACTTTGGTAGCCCCATTGAGGTGGGGACCTGTCAGCAGGCATAGACCTGAGGCCTGGCACTGGGCGCTCCCCAACACCTGGCCCAGGCCTAGTCTGCTGTCTCATTCCTCTTTCCTGGAGAGGCCAAGACTGAACCCTAATAGGATGGCAAGCTGTGATGTTAGGACTATGGGTCAGGGCTGAGGTGAGAGACCTTAGATTTCCCTAAGGAGCAGCCCCAGGCAGTCTGGCTCTGGGCTAATGGAAGGGGCCTGGTGTGTGTCTTTTTCTGGGCAGGGTTACCAGTGTAATGATCAGCAGAGAGTGACATGCAAGTGAGTGGTAACACAGAGGTCAGCAGGGTGTGAATGTCATTAACCCCATTATTATAAACCTGACCAGGCCATATTGGTACAAAAGGTGTCTTTATTGAGGTCTGGGTAAGAATTTGGCACTTGGCCAGAGCAGCAGCTTAAATATGAGGCAAGCACGCAGGGGTTAGCCATGCCCGGGGCTAGGGTGGGGCAGTGGGGCTGTAGGCACAGACTCTCCCCAGCCAGCCAGAAGTCAGGGAGGAAAGGGGAAGGGGACGCAGAGCAGTCTGGGTGAGAGGCCTGGTGGGCTGGCCCTGTGGAGCTGGGCAGAAAGCACTGGGTGGTAGGTCCAGCAGGGAGGGGACAGGGCTCTCTTGCTCCACGTGCCCTTTAGGACCAGGCCTGAGGCTCTGCTGGGGGCAGCCACACTGGGGGCCTTCCCAGGCCTCACTTCTTCACCTTAGCATCATAGGTGCCTGCATTCTTGTAGGCACTCACATAGCCGCTGTCATCCAGGATGTCCTGACGCCCAGCAATGCCCTTGCCCTTGCCGCTCTCATCGAAGCGCTCCTTGTGGGAGCCTGTGTACTTGCTGGTGTCGGTCAGCCGTTCCACAGCACCTCCGGTCTTTGCTTTCTGTTTGGATAGAGTTCCAGGGAGGCCTGGTTAGGGAGCCCAGCCTTCCTCCCCCAGCCGTAATTCCCTACATCCCCCTCAGTGGCCACCCAAGACCAGCCAGGGTACTTACGGTGACGCCCACATTGGCCGGTTCCTTGCCTGCCACCAGATGGCAGATAGCATCAAAGGCTTCCTCCTTACTCTTCCCTTTGAATCGCTTCATTGCCAGCTCTTCTAGGGCCTTCTTGAACTCCTCATAGTTGATAACCCGAGCAGACTTTCCCCTGCCAGGTATGTGGGCACCATGAGTTTTCCCCCTTCTCCATGTCTTCCCTGGTTCCAGCCCCCCAGTTCCCCACCTTCTGGGAACATCAGAAGCAAGGACTGCCTGGGGCTCACTTGACTTTGGAGAAGACGATGTCAACATCCGTCCCTGTCACGGCCTTTCCGTCAGCCACCTTGCAGTCCTTGCACAGCTTGGCCCAGTTCTTGCCATTCATCTCTTGCCCACTGGCCTTGGGGTCACCATGGATGGCAAATTTGCGGAAGCTTTCCTCCAGCCCAGCCACATCTGTGCTCGTTGCCATGCCACCCTGCAGGGGGGGACCCACCTCAGTCACCTCGCAGCCAAGCTGCCCATCCCCTCCCCAAGGCACAGAACATCACTGCCTCTACCTCAAAACTTGCTACCTCAAAACCTACCAAGTTCTGAGTTATGGGCACTTATGCCATATACCCTCAGAACGAGATGGAGCTCCCTGGAGAGAGGGGCCAGCACCGAGTGTGTCCTTGGACCCCAGAGCCCCGAGAGGAAAGGTGCTGTCACTTAATGCCAGCCCTGGCTTAGAGTGGAGTTAAGATGAAATCATGATACCCACACCAGGCTGGGGACAGAGTGGCACTGTCCAGAAAAACTGAGGTCAGCAGCTGGGGCCATGGCTTTGTCTGGCCCTGGCACAAGACCTGCTTGGGTGGAAGTGAGGGTGGCAGGGTTGGCCCCCCTCCCTGGGAGTTCCATGCCAAGCTAGGTCAGGGCCAGGCCAGGCTGCTGTTGGACAGGTATTTAGTGAGGACAGGGTCTCTGTCAGGGGCATCAGGACCCAGCAAGACCCAGCCCAGGCTGAGAAGGGAGCCAAAGCATGAGCAGGGGTGCATGCCTTAGGCAGGGGTGCAGCTGGCCCAGCCAGGACCTTGTTACTATTTGCTGTTAAACAAAAACACGAGGGGAGCAGGAGTTTGGGGCTGGCCTGGCCACAGTTTGTGAAGCCTGGAGACAGTTGCTAAGGGAGGGTAGTGCTACTTGGAGAATGTTGCTAAGGGCAGGATGGTGTCAGGGCGGCTGAGAGAGAAGCTCCCAGTGCTGCTGGGCTGGGCTGGGCTAGGGAACTGGGGCCCACGGGTGCGGCACACCAGCACTCCCAGCGCCTGGGGCACAACCGTGGCCACCTGGCCCCTTGCCATGCATTTGGCGCTGTAACCTCCCAGTCTGTAGAGTTTAGGAAGAGCAGGCGATTTGGGGACTAGCACGGGTAGGGGTTGTAAAGTTATGAGCCCCCAGAGGCATACTGGTGACTGGAACAATGGTCTTGGTCCTGTAATGCTCACACCTACACCCTACATTGTGGCATACTTCCCCAGTGTCTACACCTTCAGTCTTCCATGGAAGCCCCTGGCCACACCCTGAGCACCGTCACACCAGTCCACAGCCCCACAGCTGAATGTACTCAGCCCTGGCTCTCAACATTCTCGGCCTTATTCCCCTGACCACACCCTTAACCAGCCCTGGGACTGAGGGCCTGGACCATTACCTGAGCACCCACCCCCACATATCTAGTAAGAGCTCTGTACAGAAACCCACCAATAATACCCTCAGCCCTGCACTAAAATGTCCCTCCTACACCCTCACAGGCCCCCTGCAGTCCCCTGACCACACCTACAGCCCTACACTGAAACTCCCTCCATGTAACACAGCCCAGTAATGAGGCCTCCTTGACCACACCTTCAGCCCTCCGCTGCAGCTGCCTCCATCCACACACACCCCAGTCCTGGGATGAGGACCCCCATCCACATACCCACAGCTCTTACTGAGCCCCCTAACCAGAGCTTCACTACTCACCCCGTTCTCCATACACCTGTAGCCTCCAACCACATCCTCAGACCCACCCTTGTCCACATACCCAGTTTTCTGGCCTCATGCTCAGCCCTGCTCTGAAGCCCCCCAGGTGCCCACATCCACAGACTTGCACTTCCAGACTCCCAGGTACTACGCTGAGAGCCCCCATGTTAAGACACTCTGAGCACACTCTGCATCTCCACTGCAGCCTCCTGACCACACCCTCAGTCATGTCCTCAGCAAACATCATCTACCTCTGTCTTTTATCCTAAGGCTTCCAGTGACCACAGCCTGGGCCCCTACAGAACTACACCCCCTTTACATTTACCACTGGCCTTAACACTGAAAACCCTCTCCCAGCGACCATCCTCACCCATCCCGAAGTTGCAATTTCTGGTACTGGCATCCCCACAGCCCCTACATTGTAATGACCCTGTCAGCCCACAATCGCAGTCCACACAGCACTCCCCTTCCCTCTCTCTACACTGCAGTCTCCCACCAGGGATCCAGAGACCCCGCCCAAGGGTAAAGTCTGGGGGAGCTTGTGGGACACAGATGCTTGTCCCAGGTGACTGGCAGGCTTCTGCCTCCAGTGCTCGCTCTTGTCTGTGGGAAGGATTCTTGGTACTAATCAGGTGGAACCAGGTCGCAGGCCGCAGCCCCAGGAGTCTGCAGTCCCAGGAGTCTGCAGGCCAAGGATGCAGCAGCCACGCCCAAGAACTGGGGCCACCCGCTGGCTCCCACTGGGACAGCTGGAGTCATCAATCAGCCGGGCGAGGAGGTGGGGGAGGAACGCCTGGGGCCCAGGACAGGGCCGCTCAGTTGGCTCGGTACCATCGGGGGCTGGAACCCCTTCCAGAGCGCTCCCACCCCACCCCCTTCCTTATCATGCAGGATACGGATTAGGGTGGTCGGCGCCCGCGTCTCTTACCTGCTTCTACTTCGTGGCTGTTTCTGCAGTGCGTGTTCGATGGACAGAAGGACGCAAGAACGGACCGACAGACGCGGGAGACCAGGCGGCTCCAAAGCTCTGCTCCCTGCCGGCTTCGGGGCGGGACTGCAGCCCGGGCGGTTCCGCCGTATTATCCCCTGTTTCTCGGTCTCCATAGAGACAGCGAGTCCCACCCCCAGGGCTGCCTCGGCGGGAGAATGACCAAGGTCACGCTGGCCCCACCCACAGGACCCCGCCCCCTCCGCGGGGGCGGAGCTACTGCTAAAGCCTTATCCCGCAGCTCCCAGGGCAGCTCCGTGGCCTTCGCGCTGGGGGAGACAGGCCCTCTGCAGCTCTGGACGTCCTCGGATAAACCCCCTACTAAGAAAACAGCCTCCTCCGGGGCTTCGCCCAAAGTTCAAAGCAGGCCCCCACCTCCACGGGGGAGATGAAGCTTTCCAGAGCCGCAACCAAAGGAGCGGGCGGGGTGGGAGGGAGGTGGGGCGGGGGGAGTTGGGGTGGGGAGAAGTCCCTTCCCTCAATGACAGTGGGGTCTAAAGCTGGCTCAAGACCACAGCTTTCCAATTAACGTTTGGCATCCCCAGGCCGCAACTCGGGAGCACTGTGGGAGCAGGAGGGAACAATGGGCGAATCACGTGTGCCCAGTCCCAGAGTCCTGGTACACCGACCGCCATCCCAACTGCAGGAAAAAGTTCCAGGACCTCTGGGGTCCGCGTACTCCTTTATTCCCATTCTACCCCGGTGTCGGCCTCGCAGTGTCTGCTCCTGCTGCTGCCTCCGGATCTCAAAGCCTATTTTCCCTCAAGTATAAACCATCTTCAAGAAAAACAACCTCCTCCAGGCAGCCTTCCAAGGACTTTTCACAACCAGAAGCCCTGTACCTGAGCGTCTTCGGTCCACGTGTATCTTTCCATATGACAATCTGGGTGGTGACTCAATGTCCGAGCCCCTCCCACCCCACCCCTAGGCCGACTGACAATGGTCCAGCTCCAGGATGGCCTGTGGCCCTTGCCATTAAGAAAGTATGCACTAAGTCCGCAAAAGCATTAAAAAAAAAAAAAAAAAAAAAAAAAAGTTTATTGGAGCATCCTGGCCGGTGGGGCGGGTATTGCTGAGTCTTGGGGGAAGGGATCCCATCCCGCCGACCGCAGGGGCTCCTAAAGTGCACTCGGTGCGGCGAGGGTGGGGGTGTTGCATAGAGAATCCGGCTGGCCGCTCCTCCTTGGCCCTCCTGCCTCTCCACCCAACTAAGCCAGGCCAGCCTCCGGGCCGCCCCGCGCCCCGGGCTCGCCGCTGCTCGGGCTCACGAAAACCGCGGGCGCACGCACCTGCAGCGCCAGCCCGGTCTCTCGGCCCCTGCCCCCTGGGGCGGCCAGGGAGGCGCTGCCCAGGCGCGTCTGGGCCACTGGAATCTCGTCCACGGACTCGGCTGACACCGAGTGGTAGGTGCCTGCAGGCCCAGCGGCGTGCACTGGGCTGGCGCCCGCAGAGTCCGATGCCGAGCTGGAGCTGCGGCCTGGGGCCCGGGGCACTGCGGAGATGGAGGACAATGTGAAACTGGGGGCTGTGACACTCTCGGGTCCCTACCTTTCCCTCAGAGCTCAGGATGCAGTCAGGAAGAGACACTCACCCGGCAGCCTGGGCAGCGGCGATTCAGGGTCCAAGGTCCCAGAGGTTGGCACCTTATACACCCGCCGCTTCCTCTTTTTCTGGAGAGAGAGGGGAGAAGCTGAGTGCCCCTTCCCTAGACCGCACATAGCCCAAAGAAGCAGAGGAGTGGGGCAGGGTAGAGGCTTCTTTCCAACCCCTTCCTCCTGGGCAAGGAGGCCAGCAAAGTCCCTCTTACCTGGGGTCGGATCCGAGGGGGCAGAGCCTGAGTCTCTGGGGAGGAGGGCGGTGGGGGTTCCACTTGGCCTCGGGTGGCAAAGAACTGGGAAAGACTGAGGGGGAAGTGGAAGGGTAATCGCTGGATGGCCACTGTTCCCTCAAATCCCACCCCACTGGAGGTCCTGAAATAAGCCTCCCTTCCTAGTACACAGAAAGGGGCATTGATTTGTCCAAGGGTATGCCAGGCTGGACCCAGACCTAAATACTGTGGCCTTGGCCTACCCCCTTTCTCCCACCTTGGATGTCCCTGCCATGCCAATGAGAGATGTCCAGGTGGAACATGCCCAGCTTGCACTCACTTGGCATTCACTGTGGCAGGCCTGGCCTGGCCAGGGGGTTCTGGGCGCACGTGGCTGAAGGTCCGCATGTAGAACTCCATCTCCTGGGGAAGGTGGGGGTCAGGGAGGCTGGGGGGCCAGGTGTGGATCCAAGGCCTTCTGGGTCCTGAGCCTACTCCATCCTGTATACAATACCCCATCCTATACAGAACACCCCCTTCTCACTGGTCTCTGTGGGAAGTCTGGGTGCAGAGGTCTATGACTGTCCTCCAAGCTTCCCAGCTATGCTGGGAAAATCCCTCTGTAGGCCAAGGCTTAAAACACCCATTTTTGGACCTTACCCCATCCCCACCAACTTCCCTACTTCATCTAGTCAAACTCCTCCTCCAGGAAGCCCCTAGCCTCATAGGTCCAATGCACCCAGTCTGCTCTGGCCAAGGTGGGTGGTGGGGAAGAGGCTCTCAGAGCAACCCTCTCCTGTTCCTCTCTTTTCCCAGGGTTCCAGTCTCTGAACTGATTTTTACAGGGCAGGGGCCAAGAGCCCTCTAGTCTAAGCATCCTAGGGCCAGCCCTGCCTCCATGGGTACTGACTATGAGGCCTGAGAAAGTCTCCTGCCTACATCTCTGAGGCTGTCTCCTCTGTGAAGTGGGGATGGAGAAGCTGCCCACCCACCCCCCAGGTAGCCAAGACTGTGGCTGGTACCTTGAGGACTCAACTCCTCAAAAGAGGAGGCAGTAAGAGGTAGGGGGAAAAACAGCTCCACAGCCCCATTTGGGATCAGGCTTATAGGCAAGTTCTGTGTCTACTTTAGTCACTGATCCTCACAGCCACACTGGGAGTGGCAGACCCAACCCCTGAAAGCGCAGGGACCTGAGGCCAGGAGGTCACAGAAGTGGGTTGGGCTGCCACCCAGGACACAGGACGCCCATGAGGACTGCAGATGAGGAGACAAAAGCTAGGAAAAAGCCAACCCAGGTATGGAGGGTATAGGGCAGAGCCAGTACAACGATGCCCCGCCCCCACCGGGTGGGGGAGGGCACCCGGACAGCTGTCACCCGCTCCGAAGTCGTTTCCATGGAGACCCAGGCGTCCTGACTAATGCAGAGATGACACTGTTAACAGCAACGCTGTCTCTAAAACAAGCCTATGTTTGGGGGCAACGGCTCCAGAGTGGGGCCCCTCCCGCATTCCTGCTCAGGGTGGGGGTGGGGAGGCTGCCTTCAGGGCCCTGGCAGATCTGGGGGACAGAGCCCAGCCGGCCCCAGGCTGGCTGCACAGATACGGAGATTCATGCCCAACCAATGCCCAGGCTAGCCCTCTGGAAAGCAGTGTGGGGGTGACAGCCTCAGCAGAGGAACACTGGAAAAGAAGGGGTCAGAGGCCAGTCGTGAGAACTGGGACCTCAAGGTAATGGCTAGGACCTCCAGGTAATCTGTACCCCACATCCTTCCTCTTCCCCAGTGTGGAGTCAGCACCCCTCCAGTGCCCAGCAGAAAGGGGCAAAGCCTACCCTAGTGCCCCTGGGCTCCAGAAGGGGGGGTGGGGCAGGAGGGGTGGGAGAAGCAGCACCAGAGGATGGTCCCAGAAGCCTGAGGGGCCAAGATGAGACAGGAGCCAGGCCCTAGGCAGCTGGAGAGGTCTGAGGGTACAGCGGGGTTTCCCCACTCAAAGCCCCCTGGGATCCTCCCACAGAGACCTTCACAATGTGCACACGCCTGCGCAGCAAATGGTACCTCTCGGCCTCAGCACTGTCCTCTCTGCAGTGGGACAAGCACATCCCTCCCCCCCGCCCCGGAAGCCTCCCTCAGGTCATGTGCAGACGATATTTCCTGCCCTTGCTGCTCTTGCTGCCACACCTGACTCCAGAGCCCAGGCAGGCAGTGGCTACAGGGCAGGGGCCAAGAGCCCCCTAGTCTAAGCATCCTAGGGCCAGCCCTGCCTCCATGGGTACTGACTGTGAGGCCTGAGAAGGTCTCCTGCCTACATCTCTGAGGCTGTCTCCTCTGTGAAGTGGGCATGGAGAAGCCGCCCACCCCCAGGGTGGCTGCCACTGCACTTACACGCGTTCTGTGCCAGGCACCAATCTCTGTACACGGTGGTGTGGCGGGGCGCTGCCACCAAAAGTCAGCATTCCCCCAGGCCTCCCAGGCCTTGCAGCCTGGCCCGCCCCTGGCAGTGACAACAGGAGAGGCGGGGTCCCAAGCCTTCTCCCGATCCACCCACCAGCCTGTGTTTGTGTCTAGTTGCCATGAGGACTTGGGGTCCAGAGTTCAGCCTTCCCAGCAAGGCCCGCCTGGGCCCCCTGCCCTCGCAGTCCCTGCGGGCTCCAAGAAGTGGACCACGCCCACCCCCAGCCGCTGACCTCAGGAAGCCACGGGGCGTGGGAACGGGGATAGGCTGGTCAGCAGCTGGGCTGGGGGGTTCCTGCTGCAGAGGGTAAGGACTTTAACTCTTCCCAGACCCAGCTTGTTTAAGCCTTCTTGGCCTCAATAGGCTCATCTGCAACATGGGTACAGTTACATTACCTGCCTCACGGGCTCTTTTAAAGATTAAATAGGGTAATGGGTATAAGGGCTCAGGATCACGAGGGGAGAGAACTGATGGCTCCATCCTAGCGACCTATGCACTGGTCCACCCCTCTCTCTTCTGCAGCCCCAACCTGCCCACTTTCAGGCTGCCACATTCCATGCCCTCCAGCACATGCTTGGAGCCTGGACAGGAGCGTACACGGGGTCAGGGAAACACAGGGCTCCCTCTGGCTGTGCCCACACTTGAGAAGCAGATACGTGCTGAGTATAGGCTTGGCCTCGCTCCTATTGCCTCCAGCATCCCCTACTCCAGCTGCGGTTCCAGGCCTGCTTCCCTTTGCCCTGTCTCATCACTGGGGCTTGCTACACAGCCCACCACCCCTCCCACACCCAGGCCCCATCACCCACCCCCTTAGCCCTCTGAGCCACTTCTATACCTGAATGGGCCGCATCTTGGGGGGACAGGACTCGAGCTCCCTGTGGGCCCCCTTTGCCTCCTGTGGCAGGCGATGCTGCACGATGTACTCATAGGTGGTGAGCTTGTGCCACACTGAGGGGGTGAGGAGAGGGCTCAGTGCAGTGGAAAGGGGGTCCTAGAGTTCAGAAGGTAAGGGAGGGTGCCCAGCCCCAGCCTGAAAGCACTGTCCCCAAATACACTAACCCATGAAGTGAGACCAGAAAGCCAGGACTGAGAAGAGCATGGTTTCGGGCATCTGCAGCACAACTGGGACCTCCCTGTGGCCCAAGGACCCCCATCCCCTGCGAGGCACGTGTAGGTGTGTGAGTGTGCATGTGCGTGTGTGTGCTGGGGCGCGGGTGGGGAGGGACTTACTGAGGTAAATGTGGAAGCAGAACAGGTGGCCCAGCAGGGCTGTGGAAAGCAGGCCCAGAAGGATGAGCAGCGCGGCCAGGGCCAGGATGGCAGGAGCCTGTGTCTCCACAGGGGCAGCGGGCAGGAACACAAACCACACATCTGTGTGATTCTTCAGCACTGCAAGGCACAGGCAGACCGCTCATCTGGGGCTATGACCAGCCCCGAGAACAGGCCCAGGGTTGGAGGGTGCGAGTGGGCCTGGAGCTGGAACTGACCTTCAAAGTGGTGATTGGTGCGCAGCCGCATGGGGTTGACAAAGAACTCCACAAAGACATACGTGGCCACCAGCACGAGGAGCAGGACACCCAGTAAGGCAGATGCCACACTGTGTAGAAAGAGCCTGGGCCCAGCCGTGGGCAGCTGTCAGCACCCAGGTGCTCCAGCTGGGTAAGGGCCCAGAACTCGGAAGGGCCCGTGGATGGGACGGGGACCCAGGCCTCTGACCCCACAGCCCGAACTCCTCACGCAGTCAGTGGCTTGGGCAGAGATTAACCTGGGCGGCCGCCCCAGCAGGAAGAAGACCCCAAACCTGCCCTCAGCAGTCCCGGGCAGCAGCCACCAGGAGCACCACCCTCAGACCAGCCCCGCCCCGCCCCAGGCAGGCTCAGGGTCCCTGGCTCACACTCACACCCACGCATCCCCAGGCAAAGGTGCGGCCCGCGGCCCGCTCTCACCGGTAGTTCCTCTCGCCCACGCAGTTGTTGAGCCACTTGCAGTGGTGGTCAAAACCGCACACGCACTTGTTGCAGGCGCTGCAGTGCTTGGAGCGAGCGCTCCTGCGGGAAGGGGTGGAAGGGGCACAACGCACTTGGCTAGCTTTTCCCGCACTTCCCCGGGGGCAGCTCGCAGGGCAGCGGAGTCGGCGGCGGAGGCACCAGCCACGCGGACGCCGCACCTGGAGCGAGTTACCCACCAGGCCCTGGGCTCCACGGCGGAGGCGGCGACGGGGAGCGCGCACGCCCTCTGGCGGCGCTGCGAAGCAGAGCAGCCACAGGAGGCCTCGCTTCTGAAGGGCCAGGGGCCTCGGAGGCTCCAGGAAGGAGGGCTTGGGAGCCATCACACTTTCCGAAACACTCTAGGATTGCGCACCTGCATGATGGTGGTATGAAGCGGAAATGGGGCTTCCTTTCCAAGCAACGACCCCTGCGCCGCGCCAGGAGACGATGCACGCGTGCGACCAGGGAGAAGAGAGCAAGGCTGCTGGGTCTAGGGCCTGCATTGGTTTCTCTGACATCTCCATTTTTTGAGTCCCTGTTTCCCCGCCAGTCTATGGGAATTTTACTGGCATTCTTCCAGAAAACCGCAGTCTGTCTGGGCTACCCAAAGGGAGCCAAAGGAAGAGGAGCAAGCTGACATCTAGGTGAGCAGTTTGCTGCAGGGGCTCAGATAAGGTGAGGCCACATTAGGAATGCAAGCCCAACGGGGTGTGGAGGAGTGAGCTGCAACCCCTTCCCCCAGAAGAGAACGGAGTGGGTAGCCACTGCCACGGCATCCACTAAAGAACAATGCACTGACCGGTGCCTGGCGAAAGAAAGGATGATGTGACACCAAACTCCTCAGTGCCTTAAGGCCGTCGTCGGCTCTTACTCTGTCCTGTGGACACACCCCCTTCAACAGGCTGCTAGATCTCAAGATTGGAAATGTGGAGCCAGCCTTGGACCATACCCCCACCCCCAATCCCCTGCCTGAGGCTGGAAGCTCCAGGAAGGGAGAGAGGGGCCTAGGGAGGCAGTCCCTAAGAGCCAAGGGGGTACGGGCTCTGCACATTCTGACTGCCCTTCCCACTAGCAGTGTGATCTGCAGGAAGTCACGTGGCCTCTCTGGGCTTCAGATTCCTCACGGGCAACTGAGGATAACAGTCCGGGCTTGGGGGCCAGGCAGGCTGGGTTGTGAATCTGGCTCTGCTACCCAATAGCCATATGCAGGCCTCTCAGCCTTTTACGGCCCTGGGCTCTTCCTCTTCTGTGAGGTGACAAAGATGCTGTCCACCCTGCACGGTTGTTCACAAGCACTTAGCACATAATAAGTTACTCATTAGACTAACTTCAGTTAGTCTAACTAGACTAACTGTTAGTCATTAGAAAAGTGTGTGGCAGTGCCAGACGTTTCCTACTTTAACTGCTGGAAATGCCATTCCGCATCTTCTGTTTCCAATCTCCTTGTCCTTCACCCAATTCTCTGTCACTCCATCAAGGTTCTTGACTGTGTAAACACGAGGCTTCTGCGGCATCAGGATAACTCTAAAGCCCTGGGCAGGCCCCTCTCTGCCTGGAGCGCCCACTGGCAGTTTCCCGGGGCACACTCGGCCCCCGCACACACCCTCAGCCCACACTCACTCACACATCTACGTCGCACAGGTTGCAGTGCAGATCTTCAATGACGTGTGCGTGTTGGCTGCGGTTGAAGACGGGCAGGGGCCCTGCATAGCTCTTGTCCCGCACGTTGGCATCTGCTGGATCGATGGAGACAGCGGTCAGGTGAACCACGAGGTGGCCGGCAAAGATGGCGCCCATGCACTGGCCCAGCAGGTTAAAGACTCACTCCGCACTCTGCCGGCTGCAAGCTCCCCTCCCCAACTTTCTGGAGCCCGACAACAGCTGGCTACCTCCATGTGACTCCCTCATGCAGAGACTCTCTGCCTGTGCCACCTCCTACCTGCAGCCCCACGAGAGCTTCCTTGTCAGACCGCATACCCATGACCCAGATGGAAGAGAGGAGCCATCTGGTAACAAAGCTCACAAGCCCCTGCCTACTGCCACTGGGGGGCCCAACCACAGGGCTCTGGCCTCACTCCTCCGGGACTGCCCCAAGTGCTGGCTGGTCTGACCTCAGAATCCAGACGATCTACTTTCAGATTCTAAATGATGAAGTGAGACTGAAGGAGATTATCCTCTAAGGCCGAGGGCCCCAAAATATAAGTTCTAAGTTTGTTTCTCTTGCCTTCATGGGAAGCCAGCTCCGAGAGGGAAGCAGCCATCCTTTCTCAGCAGCTGGGCCAGACGGAGACTCACTTGTAGACAGGGTCTCATACACCCACCACCTCCCCGACTGGAGTCCAGCTACTTAGAGCCCTAGGGCTCAGGGTTCTGAGGGCCTTGGCATATTCAGGGCCTGGCCAGGGGCAGCATGGCTAATGCTGGAGCTGAAACACAGATCTTCTAGGACCAACTGCTCAATGACTAGACCAAATGCTGGGGACAAGCATGCTGACAACTTGCTGCAAAGTCTAAATTAGTAAAAATTCACCAAGAGACTCTACCCAGGCAGCCATCTGCCATCTATCCATCCATCCTCTCGCTAACCAGGCAGACATCATCCCTCCATCATTCATCCTCCACCCATCAGCTGCCCAACCTCATTTTTCCTTCTTCCTCCTCCTCCCAGCAGCCAAACTTCCATACCTATCTGCATGAGCAAGGCTCTGCCCTAAGGGGCTGTACCACAGCGGAATGCGAGTCCCATAGCCCATCACAACCTCTCCATCCCTACGGCCCTGGCTGTAGGTCAGGCCTTCACCCCTTCCCCGGGTTATTCCACAGTCTCCTGACGGTTCCTCCTGTCTGCGCGCCCTTGAGCCTGCCCTTCACTTGGTCCCAAAGTGAGCTTTGCATAGCTTAAACCTAAAATCTTGTCTGCTTCAATTTCTACAGGGGCTCTCAATGGCTCTCAAACTACGGTCTCCTATTCAGTTCAGTGCCAAGGGCCCTTCCGCTCCAGCTCCACAGCTCCTGTCAAAACTGCCTGGTATCACCAACCACTACTCCTCACCATTCCAGCCTCTCTTCAGACACACTGAATATTTACCAAACATTCAGCTTCCTGCCTGCTCCAACACTTCTTCCCCTCCCCACCCCTTGGTTCATTCATTCAACTGTTCACTGAGGTCTTTCTTTACACCAGGCCCTACGGGCAATGGCAGGAGCAAGCCAGACTCGGTCCCTCACCCCAAGGAGCCTGCAGTCAGGTGGGAAATACGTATGTTAATCACATAATGGGTTGATTACAAAGAAGGAAGTTCATGGGACTAAGTGAGTAACTGCATGGCCTCATCTAGTCTGATGGGATCCAGAAGGCTGCCCTGAGGAAGTATCATCTCAGCTGAGACTTGGAGAGGAACAGACAATAGGCACCTGGTATAAAATCGATAGGAGGGGCTTGGCTGGGTACTGGGAGCAAACAGAGTCCCAGCCAGAGGGGTGGCTGATGTGTGGTTCCAGCTCAGCTCATTGCTGCCATGCAGGAATGAGGGCACATGTCACCAAATTCTGGCTTTTCAAAAGGAACCAGAAATCTGGATTTTTATGTGAAGTCTCATTTTTTAAATACTGACAATAAATAAATAATTTTTAAAACACACCTGCCAGGGGCACCTGGGTGGCTCAGTTAAGTGTCTGACTTCGGCTCAGGTCACGATCTCAGGGTCCTGGAATTGAGCCCCACGTAGGGCTCTGTGCTCAGCACGGAGTCTGCTTGTCCCTCTCCCTCTGCCCCTCCCCCAACTTGTGCGTGAGCTAAAAACACACCTGCCAAAGGAACACTTAAGACTGTCCCTTTTTGTGTGTTAATTTTCCCCCAATTAAAAAAGAAAATCTCACCTAAAAAAAAGAAATAAAATCTGAGGGCGCCTGGCTGGCTGAGTTGGTAGAGCATGCAACTCTTGATTTTGGCGTCGTGAATTCAAGCTGCACATGGGGCACAGAGACTACTTAAAAAAAAAAAAGAAAAGAGGGGCACCTGGGTGGCTCACTTGTTAAGCGTCTGCCTTCGGCTCAGGTCATGATCCCAGGGTTCTGGAATCTAGCTCCTTACTCAGCAGGAGGCCTGCTTCTCCCTCTCCCACTCCCCCTGCTTGTTCTCCCTCTCACTGTCTCTGTCAAATAAATAAATGAAATCTTTAAAAAAAAAAGAAAAAAGAAAAGATCTGTAGGCCAAACAGGCCCATGGGCTGCTAGTTCTGGACTCGTGCCTTAGCTGGTTGTTGGGACAGAGTCAAAAGCCTTCCAGCCAAAGACCAGTGGTGTCACAACAGAGAACCCCAGAGGAGAGAACATAAGAGGCGGGGGAAATGGGCACAAACCAGAACCCAGAGAGCCCTGAGGATCTTGAAAGTCATTCCTTAAGGCAGGAAGAAGCCATCATGGGATGTTAAACTGGGGAGAAACTTCAGATTTTTAAAGGGCGCTCGGCTGCTGGGACACAGACCAACATAGATGGACTGGCCCAAGTGAGAGTGTGTGTGGGGAGACCTGTCTGGAAACGAAACGGTCATCTAGTCCAGAGGGGCAGGCGGCAGTGGGGAGGAATGAGGGCAAGTTTGATAGCTACTTAGGAGGTAACATCAACAGGACTTGCTGACTGACTGGATACAGGTGATGAAGGAAAGGGGCCGAGCCAAGGGTATCTGGAGAAACAGCCGCAGAGAAGGCCGGGTGCGCGTCAGGCGTGCATCTGGCCCCATGGCGACGCGCGTCTACACAGCCACGCGGGTCTACATGGCCCTCCTCCACCCATAATCTGCTGTAAGGCTCCCACCCTCATACCTACCATGTGACCACCTCCAAGCTACAAGGCTTTCCTCCAGCGGGAGGCTAAGCACCCGGTGGGGGGGCCCTGTCTTACTCCTCGTAGCAACACCAGGGCCCGGGCCAGTTCCAGGCCCGAGGTGGGTATGTGGTACACCCCATTAGCCTACCTCATTCCTCAGGGGCCCTGAGGAAGCCTGCAGAAGAAAGGTCGCTTTGATGGAAGGAAGGAGAGGCATCCAGGCCTAGAAATGGGAGTGCCGATCTGGGTGGCTCTGTGAGCCTCCACATTGCCCAAAGCAATGAATGTGGAGAGGACAAAACCCTTAAACCGTCCCACTGCCTCACTGTCAGCTTGCCTGAGCAGCTCGTCTGGCCTCAGTGGGTATCAGCTGTGTGACCTCAGGAAGTCAATCTCTCCTAGCACCAATTTCTTCACTAGTAAAGTGGGGAGAACACCTTCCTTACTGATTGTTATGAGGATCGAATGACATAGTCCACATACAGGGGACGGCACAGTGCCTGGTACATATATGTGCTCAATAAATGCTGTTACTCTTGTTTACTGTCATTTGCCCTAACTGTACTTACTCCCACCATGTGATTATTAACCTGCCTTCCCAGGTACCCTGGTGGCAGAAACCCAGGTAATCCTGATGAGGGGTACGCCCATCCCAGATCATGGGAGGAATGTTTCATGAAGCATTCTACTTAAGAGCACTGACTAAGGCCTGTTAGTCACCTCAGGGAAAGTCCAGTTTTCCATTTACAGAGCTGATGAGGAGGCCCTGGGCCCTAGTGAACCAGGAAGCCCTCCAGGGACGTTGCTGGTGTCTGAGGACAAGAACCTTCTCTAGAGTCCTTCTCCACACACCTGTCCTTGTCACTCACCAAGGACAGCAAGCTTACCCTTCCAGCTCACACATTCTGGTGCTCACACACACACACCCTTGCATGTTCCTTGTCCTCTGGGAAGCCGGCAGGACTCTTCCTGTCAAAGAGAGGAGGAGGCCGAGAACCAGAGAGGTGGCAGAAGCTGCTCAGCCTGGTACAGCCCCAACAGGGCTGAGCTGTGGCCAAGCTCAGCTGCTGACTCTATGCCCAAAGCTTTCAAGTTCATCCCTGCGAACCTCCTTTAGCTCACTCTAGCCTTCCTCCCCCAAGAAGCCCAAGAAATCATTTTCATGAAGCCCACGTACCAGGGCACACTCTCCTGGGGACCCTCTTGACAGGGGCACATGGCCACCTGCTGCACCCCAATCTCCCAGCCTTGTAGCCATATCCCCTGCTCCTGGGAGTTGTGGCCGAGGCTAGGGCAGTCACACCGCCAGGGTCATGCAAGTTTGTGTTTGTCACTGTTCCCAGGAGCCTCCAGGGCATCTTTATCCCTCCTCTTGTCAATTCAACCTCACCCTAAGAGAGTGATTTACAAAACCAATGAGCTCCTAAACAGTCCCGGGTACAGCATAATTATCTGACCGTACATAAAACCACATGTTAAATATACCAGGAAACTTAGTATGTAAAAGAATTCTACCATGACTTTTTGAAAAGTGAAAAAGTCTTTTGTAAATGGAATAATTACTCCCTAATTTATCCCCTGTCGAGCTCTGGACGTAATTAGCTTTAAGGCTTTCTTCTATGACACCCTTGTGGTACCTCAGGTGATGAGGTTCCCAGCTGTGTGGGCTTTAAATGCTCCAAGGTACATTAGGTCCATCTGCTCACCCCATCAGGCAGAGAGGCCAAATAGGGGTTGGAAGCCAGGCCGGCCACTGGTCCTCCTGGGCAGAGAAGGGGCCTGTCTGTCCTTCTTTGAGGCTCCGGGGCACGGCCTCAGGCCCCTGCCATGTCCCTGTCCACTGCCCCAGGCCTTCCATGTACTACCCACACTTTCCCAAGGATACAGCATAGCCAGTGGGCACCCAGTGGTGAGGCAGGAGGGGAACAAGGACCCCAAAGCCAATGACAGCAAAGAAGAGGTACAGCAGCCAAGCCACAATCTGGAGAGGGTGAGGGGGCCAGCTCCACCCGTTCCGGCGCGACCGCTGGCCCTGCAGCTCGGGGGACGGTCTGCGGGCCTGTGCAGGCGCTGTCCACACACTCTTCTCAGGGGCTGTCTTGTTGGAGGGCTTGTTGCAGATGTTCATCTCCAGAGGAAGAAAAAGCAGAGAGAGCATTAGCCTGAGGAGGCCCGGGCTGGAGCCCAGAAGCCCATGCCTACAGCCAGGTTCCAGCAGGGGAGAGCAGGCTGGGACGTGAGGCCATCTCCCAGCTGCTCTGCGGGGGGACCAGCACCCTAGCATGGCCAAGACAGCCCGTGGGGGAGGGTGGTAGTGGAGCGCTCTTCTCGAAGCCCCAAAGCCAGCTCTAGTCCCAGCCGCCGCCAGGACAAGGTAGGAGGGGCCAGGGTTTATTCAGGACACAGTGTGGCTGCCTGTTACTCGAAGTGCTCTGTCTCCACAGCCATCAGAGTTAAACCCAGTAAGACATGTTCTCATCTGGTAACAATATCAGGCTGAGGCCAGAGCATTGAGAACACATGCTGATTCTGTTAGTCACCTCTGTCCTGAGGCCCAAATGCAAGTGTCAGAGAGGGGCCCCTTACTCTTTGCGAGGGGAAACAGGGAGTAGGGGTGCACACAAGGGGGTCTGGCCTCTGTCCCTGGGCCAGCACATAATCCCTTTAGGACAGGGGCCACTGGGAGACCCTAAACGCTCTCCCCTGTGCCTCAGAAGGGCTGCCTGAGACTTCTTGGCTGGGGAGGAGCCAGCATGCAACAGAGAAGGGAGGATCCCTCCTTGCTTCCCTCCAGCGCCAGAAACGACCGTGTTTCTCCAGGTAAATTTGAGCCTGGTGCCCTGGGAACAGAGAGGTGGGCTGATGCTCTTTGACTCACTTGAGATCTGAGCAGGCCGGGCCTCCTGCAGAGGCTGACCACCAGGTGGCAGCACTCGCCCAGCCCCCACCCCATCATCCTTCAGTCTGAGACGGGCCTGGCGGCCAGAACTACAAGCAAGGCAGGCAGGGCGAGCTGTCATTCCAGGAGGAAGAGCCCCGCCCACAGTATCTTCCGGGCCGCAGCGGGACTAGAGCCTGGGCAGGCAGCGCCACCACTGGGGAGAACTCATGGTGGGAAGGCCGAGAGCAGGCGACAAAACCCAGGCAGCTGGACTCTCCTTTCAGGAGCCCCCATACCCGTGGGCCCGGGGGTCTGACGATGCCAGAAAGTATGGCAGACCCCCCTCAGCACATCTACCAAGCACATCTGCCTCACCTCTCGGCCCAGCAAAATGTGACGTGACCTTCAGAGCCCAGTCTAAGAGCCCAGGAAGCTGTACCTGATGCCCCAAACAGAGTCAGGGGGCTCTCGTGCTTAGTCTCTAGTGGGCAAGTCACTTTGCCACTCAGAACCCTGTGTCATCCTCATGTCTGCCCCCTGTTACGCCAGTTTCTCCTAAGGGTAGCAACAATACGGTGATTCATTTACCCCTGTTCCCCACATCCCCTCCCCCAAGCAGCCACAACATACCTTGTACATAGTAGATGCTCAGTAAATGCTTGCTGACTTGAAAACATCTGAAATAAAGGAAGATGTGGGTGCGGTAAATGATGTGGAACCCTGGTCCACCCAAAGCCATCTGGCCCACTCCGCACAGCCACCATGCAGACAGACCTCTGCCCCAGCGCCCCCGGCTGCTGGCTCTTACCCTGACTGCCGGACAGTCCCACTCAGTCACTGCCCTTCATCCCGCCCGAGGCTCAGCGCCTCCGGCAAGTCAAGTCTGGCGTGTTCACCTGAGTAGCCTCATCTCAAAGCTAAATGGAATGACCTTAGTTTTCTCTCAGGGACTCAGGTGGAATCCCTTGGTCATTTGCTTCGTCTTCAATAACAAACAGTAAAAAGTGAATAAAGAGCCCCAGCTTTGGAGGAAACAGATTAAGGTTCAAGTCCTGGCACTTACCAGCTGAGTGGCCTGAGTTTCTTCATCTGAAAAACGGGGGGTAGGGATGGCTACCCGGGCTGTGTATAGATCAGCGACCCTGTAAGTAAGGCCCTGACACATAAATGCTCCCTAAATGATAGATATTGTAATTATCCTTAAAATAGCCCTCTGGCTTGTCCCTGTCTCTCCAAAGGAAGGCTGCTGCATCTGAAACTAATTTTCAAAGGGATGGGGGGCAGTGAAGCTGTTTTCTTAAACCAGGGGTCCCAAGGAACATGTTGCCATGAGAGCTGGGCCACTGGATGGTCATTGTAACCATCTCACCTTTGATCAAACGGACAAAGGTGATTGAAAAAAGAAAAAGAGAAGAGAAAAAAAAAAGCTGGCACCACTTCATTTTCAATGTCCCCAGACGTAGCAAATCTGTCTTTGATTTCTGGAAACAATCAAAGGTCATGAGGTGAAGCCCTGTGAACAGCCGAGCTGGGGGACTCTGCTCAGGGGCAAATCCCTGTGGCTTGCACCTCAGTTCTCCAGTGACACCATCACCAGGGTAACTACTTGGAAGAGAACCCATGAATTGGGAGCCCTAAATTCCAGCTTTCCTTTTGCCATCTTCACACCTCTGCAGCCCTACACCTTGAAGTTTCTAAAGAAAGAAGCAGAGGCACATGGCTGACATGTCCTCGCTGCCCGGAGTGGGCTGGCAGGGGCCACAGGCACCCCCCCCCCAGGTGCCGCTGCCTCCCCGATTACCTGAAGCAGGAGGATTCACCATCTGAGGCTTTGGGGGTGGCTCTGACTCCAAACCAGGGGACCCCTGGCCCAGGGAGGTGCCACTCGTATGAGACTGTGGGCAAGGGGATGGGGCTACTGGGCCTAAAGCCCTTGCGGCGGGGCAGCACTCTAGAGCGGACATGCAAGCTGGCTCGTCACCTGCCCCGAAAACCTGGGCCGGCCAGCTCTTAACTGACGGCATATTCCCCTGTGGGGCTGGTGGCTACTAAGTCTTTTGGCCGAAAAGACTTTGATTAAAAGGGCTGAGGGGTAGGAGAGAATCCAAGATGGGGCCTCTCAAGCAGGGATGGGACCAAGCACTGTCACCAGACCCAGGAACTTCTCTGGCTGTCCCTCCCTTCTCAGCACTTCTCTAGGAGCCCAGACTGAAAGATGCATGGCTCTGCTCCCGGACAACTTGGCCAGAGCACTGCACCCACACACTGGCCCAGGCAGCACTGTGGGGGCCCAGCCCCCTGAGTGCGCTGAAGATGTAAACACAGACTCGTGCTTTCTGGGGGCCCAGACAGACATGAGGGTAGTGGTCGTGGTTGGGTGGAAGGTGGGTGAACGGGTCCCGCAAAGGCCAGCCATTCAGTGTGACAGAACACAGGGTGTGCGGCGGGGGGGGGGGGCGGGGGTGTGTGTGTGGCTGTGTGGGTGTAGGGTGCAGATCCAGAGAGAGAGTTGAGCCCTGAGGAGCCTAGGAGGCCAGGCAAGGAAGCTTGGGTATTACTGAAGAGCCACCAGGAGTCACAGGAAGTTTAAAGCAGGGGAATGATACAAAGGTGGTGGGTGTTTCACAAAGCTTTCTAGTCATAGTGGGGAAGAGGGCATGAGCAAGAGGGGAAAGGGTAGGCCAGGGAAGGCTGCAGCCCAGCAGCCTTGTGCTTTGGGAGGAACTGGTCCAGGAGATGGAGGTCAAGCCCACAAGGTCCCTAAATGCCCCCAGCTGCATCTCTGAGAGGTATATGAGCCTTGGTGAAAGATTTTTCATGTCTTTCTGCTGCCATAGAACAAGCCACAGAGTTAAACTGGGGGAGATGGAGGAAAGACTAGAGGGAAGAGGCCCCATGGAGTGTTATGGCCAAAGGTCACCACCACGTTGGTAAGCCAAGGACCCACCTGGCTGCTGAGGTGGGCTGGAGCGGCTGTACAGGCCCTTCCCTTGTCCCAGTAAGGTGAAGGTCATTGCCAGGATGACAATAGTCTCGTCCTGTTAACACTCACTTGCTAAAACTCTAAAATTGCATTTTCAAAAGAAAGTTAGGGGACCTTAATTTATATGCCTGATGTACATAAGGGAACTCTTAACATTCTTAACATTTCAAGTTCTCATTATGAACTGCAGAATAGTTACATGACTGATCCACTTCCCTCTTGCCCACCTCTGCTCTCACCAAAAGAAAAAAAAAATATTGGGGAATGATGTTCTGAGATTCATGAATAGCACTGTCAAAACAACCAGACTGAGTTGTACCAGCCCTGGAGAGGCTACGGGCATCCCCGCATTCCTGCAAGATGTCTGAGAATGTCAGAAAAGAATCAACTTAATTACTAAAGAGGGTTTGTAGGCGGAGGCCACTGAACTGGGAGGGCAGAGTGATAGGGTCAGAGGAGAAGAGACAGGGCTGTTGGGGGGTACTGAGGGCCTGGGAACCTGAGCCACCGACGGAGAGAGGCAGGTTGGAACCAGGCAAGAGGGGTAGGCCTAGAGACACAGCCAGGTTCTGGTTCCTGCCCTGCCACTCACAGATTGGGTAACCTGGAGGCAAATTTCAGAGCGACCTCTTTGGGTATCTCCTTTACTCAGCTTTCAAAAAAGTTAGCGGGGGGGGGGGTGCGGGGGGCACCTGGCTGGCTCAGTCAATAGAGCATGCAAGCAACTCTTGATCTGAGGTTTGTGAGTTCAAGCCCCATGTTGGGCGTAGAGCTCACTTAAAAAAAAAAAAAAAGCTAGCTGGAAGGCAATTTGGCAATGTCTACCAAACTTTAGAACACATATACCCTTGGGCCCAGACATTCCATTTCTAGATATTTATCTTATACATATGGTCACAAAGTACACAAAGATTCACTGCAGTCTTGTTTGTAATACTAAGGGACAAAAACAATGTAAACTGACTGGGGCACATCCACACAGTGAAAGGCTGTACAACACCAAAATGGGGAGGGATGAAATGACCTTTGATACACAATGAAGTGGAAAACAAGACGTGGGGTTCATTGTAGAATGTGCTACCAACTGCGTAAAAACAAAGGGGGACGGATAGACGTTTAAGTTTCTATTTGCGCAGATTCTCTCTGGAAAGAAATACAAGCAGACAAACACAGGGGCTGCCAGCCTCTGGGAAGGAGCGTTACTTGGATCCGGTGAGAGAGATTTGCTCTGTGCACCATTTGAAATTTTTTTTTACCACGTGCATTTAAGGCTTTTGTAAAAAGAATTAGGTCAGATAAATAAGTGAGGGGTGTCACCCCTTACCCTCCTGGCCCCACTGGGCTGCCGTGCAGACCAAATGGGCTCGTGGGCTCCAGGGCCCTATACCACGCCTGACAAACAAGGAAATCCCACCTAACGACCATGCAAAAAGAGTGCCCGGTTTTAGTTCAATGCTTTCTCACTCTCGAAAGCAATTCTGAATGGTTCATCTACAAAGCTGTGAGGAAGAACCATAGGGCTCCCTGTGAGTTGTTGGGGGTCTTGTCAAAGCTGGAACCAGACCACCAGAGGGGCTGCTGGGCAGGACCTTGGTCCAGTCCTCAGCCAAAGGCCAGCTCAGCTTTCCATGGCTCCAGGACCCAAAGGGAAAGTGCACACCACAGGATGGTTTTGCTCACAACCATCTTTTCTTTTTGCTAAGAAAAGCTAGAGGATTTATGGTTGCCACCTGAATGATTTTCCATGGATACTTCTAACCAAATTTTCAGGTTTCTTCCCTCGATCTGCTTTTAAAATAATTTTCACTAAGATTTAACAGATGCCCAATTTAAGCCTAAACAGGAGTTGGAAAAAAATGCTACATGGTGCACACTGTTTTACAATGTGAAAAGTCATTTATAACGGAAGTTTGGGGGCAAATACTTTATTAAAATTCCCCACAGGTGCCAGAGAAGTCTCTGGCCTTAAAATTCTGGGAAGTGGTTCTAGTTTGACTAAAGGATGCACATCACCACAATGCCCAGGAAATAAATTGAAACTTCAGGCTGTTCTCAGAGTCCTCTCCAGTCACTGGTCTCAGATGCAGCTGGGCTCCTCACACAAACAACATGCAGAAGTTTGATGCTAGAGCAAGAAAAGCTTGAAACCCCAATCATGCCTGAGTTGACATGGTCTGAAAACATTTTCTCTGCCATTCTCCCCCTGAAGCAACCACTGCAAACTGCTTGGGATTCAAGTGTAGCCAGGGAAAGGGGACAAGAAGCGGGGGGGCAGGGAGCAACATGGAGTGAAAGCAAGGCCAGTGAGAGGAGCCAAGGGTTGTTGATTTTAACCAGGAAATCAACTCACATGATTTTAGGAGCAAGCCCTAAGGAACACCCACCAAGAAACAGTCGTTACAAACAAAGCTGTGACAAAACAAAGTAAGAAAAACAAAAGGGAAAAAAAAACCTGGCTAATTAAGCACCAATGTTGCTTTTATCGCAGGTTATGGTGATTATCTGTTTACAAACCCATCTCCCACAGTGAACCACCAGTTCCACCAAAGCAGAGAACACCCTTCATCTATCTCTAAATCCAACTCTCCTTCAATAAGAAAAATTAAGCATGTCTTACCATCTCTGCGGCCATCACCCTAATCCAAGCCTCCATCATCGGTCCCCTACATCGTTTCAGTGACCATGGCCATCACTAGCATTTAGAGGGTGCTTTTTCTGTGCAGGGCACTGCTTTAAGTGCTTTGACAGAATTCACTTATAAACCCTCACAACTCTCTGAGGTAGGTCCTAGCATTTCCAACTGGTCTCATAGGCCTCCTCTGTCATTGGTCTCCTTGGGCTGGCCTCTCACTTTCTCTCTCATAAACAACATGCGGAACAACATCTCCCCTTCACAGATGAAGACACTGGGTCTCAGAGGGGCTAACTTCTTCTAGGAGACACAGCTAGACTGGCAGAATTAGGATAGCCCGCGACTACTTTACTGGTGTGCGGCCTACAGCAGCCGAGGCAAGGTGAGCTTTTCAAAATGTCAAACTCCTCACAGCTTTTCAACGGTTTCCTCCTCCTGCTGGGATACAGGTGAAACCCCATTACACCCTTCAATGCTCCCCTCCCACTTTCTGTTCCTTAATAGTACTTTGCTGTCTCAGGACCTTTGCATTTGCTTTTCCCTCTTCCAGAAACACCCTTACCCTACTTACAATGCTGGTTTCTTTTCAACCTTCAGGTCTTAGCTTCAAAGTCACGTTTTACAGCAGACCCTGCCTGACCACCACCCCCGCCCCCTCCGTTACATCACCAGAGCACTTATCTCCACCTAAAATCACTTAAGTCTTCTATCTGGCGCCAGCACACATCCCCCCCCCCCCCCGCCCGCCCCTTAATACTCTGTGGGTTCTGGAGATCGCGCCGTTTCTAGGAGTCCTCCGTGGCCCGGCGCCTGGCACACAGGAGGCGCTCAACGCAGATACGTGAACCTAATGACGCTAGAAGGAAGCCCCGCGCTCTGCCGGGTCCCTGGAGCCCAGGCCGCGGGCTCCAGGCCGAGGTGAGCGCAGAGCATGGCCGAGCGGCGGGCAGCCACAGCCACAACCCCGTGGCTCAGGCCAAGCTTCCAGGTGAGGACCGCGATGGGGGCTCCTCACCTGCGCGTCGCGGCGACCAAGCCAGATCGGCCCTGCCAAGGTCACCCAGTGGTTCAGCCCCCGCGCCTGGCCGTCCACCCTCCAGGGCGGCAGCACTTCAGACCCTCGCAGCGGAGATGATCCCCGGGACCAGGCGGCGGCGCAGCCCGCAGCGGGGCCCCATCCCGGGCCGCGCGACGGAGGCCGGGCCGGCGAGTCCTCGGGATCCTGCTGGAGCCGGCTGGCGGCACGGCCCGGCCAGGCCGAGGCGGGCTAGAACTCTTCAGGCGCTGGGCCCGTTCCCCTGGCAACCGCGCGGGCTACGGCGCCCCACAGCGGCCAAACCGCGCTGCGTCAGTTCGCGCGGGCAACGAGGCTGGGGGCGGGGCTCACCGGGGACCCCCGGAACCCCAGCCGACCCCTTTCCCCATTCCCTCTCAACTTTTCTCCTCGAAAACCCACTCCCCCCACCTCACTCCACAGCTGTCTTCTCGAAATCCTAACTTGTCCCAAACGCGACCCCCTTCAGTTTCTCCCGAGACCACCACTCTCAGGGAGACCCCCAGGCAGCCGGCACATTATGAGTGTGTGCTGGGCACTGGACATTCCATGGGCAACTCTCACGAGATCCCTGCCCCTCAGGGAGATTACAGGCTAAGGGAAAGACAGATACAAATACCCAAATAAATATGTAGGTTTCCCCATAATATAAAGTGTGAAGTGTAAGAGCAAAATATATAGCACAAAATCATCTCCTTTTTATATTTCCTTTAAATCAAGTATAAATCCTACTGGGAGCCCCCATCCTCCAGGCTGGTAGGAAATTCAGTCTTGGTCTCCACTGGGCTCCTCTTACCCAGGTTATTCCAAGGACTCGGGATCTCCTACAGCGGCCGTCTGAGAAGTCACAGGTCCTCTCTGGTACTGAGGCCACAGCCATTGTCACAGGACTTTCAGCTTTGGGCTCTGAGGGGTCATGCCTGCTGCCCCAAGGTTGCCAGGGACAGGGGCCCCTGGGTGGCTAAGTCAGTTAAGTCACTGACTCTTGATTTGAGCTCAGGTCATGATCTTAGGGTCTTGGGGTCAAGGCCCACATTGGGCTCTGCGCTCAGTAGGGAGTCTGCTAGAGATTCTCTCTGCCTCTCCTCTCTCTCTCTCTTTAAAAAAAAAATAAATAAATCTTTAAAAAAAAAAAAAAAGGTGCCAGGACAGGTGACTGCTTCCTGGGTCCCAGGGCCCAAAGACTCTCTTCCCTTCCCCTGCCTTAGGGACCTCCCTGCTGCACCTGACTTCCCTGAAAGCCAGGGTGCCCTGGAAAGGGACTCTCCCATGAGCTCAGGCTTTTTCAAAAAACAAGCAAACACCACCACCACAAAACAGGAAGAAACTTTGTCTTCCACCAGCTGTCCTATCCATATCTCCAGGTCCCTAAAATGGTGAGTAGCTGGCTGGCTACCTGTTCAGAACGGGCTGGACAGAAAGTATCCCTATGCCTAAAATGTATGAGCCACATGCATACGATAAAAGCAACATAACAACTCCTGCTCTGTCAAAAGCCAGTTGTGAGTCCTTGTGCAAGTGATGTAATCTCTCTACCATATAAATTCTTGTTTCCAGGTCTGATAAACTCAAACTCATTATGGAATAAATAGCACTGCTACTCTGGCCTCAGAAATACAAGATGATTTCTCTTGTTGAGATGTCAGTCAAGATGACTCTTACCTGGGGCGCCTGGGTGGCTCAGTCGGTTGAGCGACTGCCTTCGGCTCGGGTCATGATCCTGGAGTCCCTGGATCGAGTCCCGCATCGGGCTCCCTGCTCGGCGGGGGGTCTGCTTCTCCCTCTCCCACTCCCCCTGCTTGTGTTCCCTCTCTCGCTGTGTCTTTCTCTGTCAAATAAATAAATAAAATCTTAAAAAAAAAAAAAAAAAAAAGATGACTCTTACCTGGAATTGGAGAACTTTAGGGTCCAACAGAGGTGGTGACCCAGAAATCAATGTAGAGGATGAGCCCATTTATGCCCACAGGGAGGGGAGGGAATCTGAGAGTCACAGCCTCTAGGCCCTGGGTCCACCTGCCTCCCAGGCACCTCTCCTGGATGTCCCATGAGTATCTAAATGCAACATATCCCTATATGCCCTCTCTGTCTTTGCCACAAACCTGTTCCTCTGCTCAAGCCCTCCAAAGGGCACCACTACCTGGTCCTTGCCCACGTAACCCAGTCTCCTCCTGGTCCTTGCCCACGTAACCCAGATAGTCCCCAAGACCAGGCAGTCCTCCTTCTGAAGCATGTCCAGTGTCCATTCCTCCCACTCTACTCCAGTCCAGACCACCACCATCTTCCTTGCTGATTCTCCCCCGGCCTCCTATCTAATGGCTACTTCCAGGCCATTCTTCTCCCAGCTGCCGGGTTTATCATTCTTTCTCTTAAATTTTTTTAAAGATTTTACTTTTAAGTCATCTCTACACCGCACATGGGGCTCAAACTTGCAACCCCAAGATCAAGAGTCACATGCTCTACTGACCTAGCTAGCCAGGTGCCCCCTTTCTCTTTATTTGTTAAAGTGGGTTGTAGTCTGAATAATTGCCTCCCAAAGATGTCCACACCCTAATCTCTGAAACCTATGGATATGTCACTTTACAAGGCAAAAAGGACCTTGATTAAATTAAGGAGCTTGAAATGGGGGAGATTATCCTGGATTTTCCAGGTGGCTTCACTGTAGTCACAGGGCCCTTATAAGAGGGAGGCCCGAGGGTCAGAATGGGAGAAGGTGATGTGATAATGAAAGCAAAGGTCAAGAGATATGACAGCTCTGTGCTACCAGCTTTGAAGGTGGAGGAAGAAGCCAGGAGCTGAGGAATGCAGACGGCCTCTAGAAGCTGGAAAAGGCAAGGAAACAGATTGTCCCCGAGAGCCTCCAGAAGGAACCAGCCTGCTGACACCTTGACTTTAGCCCAGTAAGACCCACTTCAAACTTCTGATGCCCAGAACTATAAGGTAAAAAACGTGTATTATTTTTAAATGTGTGTTGTGGCAATAGGTTATTGCAGCAGTAGGAAATTAATATAGTGGGTTTCAAATAGGGCTAAATACACATACATATAATGAGTTAAAACTGGTCTCCTTTGCAACAAAAATCCAAGTGGTAGCTCCGGTTCCCTCCATGTCTGTCCGAGTGACTCCAAGCCAAGTTCTCTGAGAAAAGGACTCCCTCTGGCCTAATTTGCTTTTTATTTATTTATTTATTTATTTATTTATTTATTTATTTATTTATTTATTTATTTATTTATTTTATTAAGCTCTACAGCCAACATGGGGCTCGAACTCATGACCTCAAGATCCAGGGTCCGTGTCTACCGACTGAGCCGGTCAGGTGCCCCTGGTCAAACTGGCTTTTTACAAGCACAGGCAGTTTGATCATATTCTTCTGGAGTCTGTCAACATAGTGTGGTCCCCAGTCCAGAACCTGACACCACCCAGGGCACCACCTACTAAAGGAGGCAACACGTTGCCTGCTCCCAGGGCAGACAAATGGCAGAGAAACGTTCTCAATATGAAAATACCATCTGATCAGTCTTCTGCGTAAAATACTTCCAGGGCTCCCTTTTGCGTTTAGGATGAATTGAAACACCAAAGCATGGCTACCAGGGCTTGCTCAACAAGTTCCTATCCACCTCCCTGTCCCTGTCCTCTCTGAGGATTATGCAGCTCCCGGAAACCACAGCATCTGCTGCCACCCCAGGCCTTTTCCCACAGGGTTCCCTTTACTTGGAGTGTTGCTTTAGCTCCTCCTGCCACCCATGGCCAACTTCTGTGAAAATGTGCGGCCCATTTTTCTGGGACAGAAGTCAGCCCCTCGGGCAGGACTTGTTCCTATCCACAGCAGCTGCCCCTGACCCACAAGGTAAGTCTGCCCAGGGTGGGAGAGCCCAGAGGGGAAGAGAAGGCCTAGCTGTGGTTTTAAGGGCTTGCACACGCATGTGTGAAGATTCTGAGCCGGCTTTCATGACTCCTAGAACCTCTGGGCCAGGAAAGAGCAGCTCACCATGCCCGGTGCCAAACCAGCCCACCCTTAATTAGAGCCATTGAGTGCCTGGGCCCCCTGAGACTTGTCACTCATCCCAGGACAGGTCAGTAGTTTACCAGTTTCAATCCCAGCTCTACCATCGCCAGCTGGGCAAACTCCTTAACCTCTGTGAATCTCAATTTGCTCTTTTTGTAAAACGAAGGTAACGAGAGCTTCTGCACGAGGGTGATGAGGACTGAAAATGTGCTCATACTTACAAAGCACACAGAGTATTCAGCTGATAGTAGACATCAATACAAATCCTCTAGACCTTGCTTCTCTTTCCATCAGGAAGATGATGCTATCCATTTCATCAACTAACAAAATTAAATTTTAATTGTCAAATCAGACCGGGTGGGATGTGGTCAGCCACAGCTCCTGTTCTCTGGGTCCACTTTGTCTGGGTCACAGTATCCTTTCCGATGAACCCTGGATGAATTGGCCGATCCACTTGGCTCATCCCCCTGGCCACCAGCATTTCTTACCCCAGCAAGCTCAGTAGCCTCCTGACTGGTCTTTCTGCTTCTACTGTGGGCTCCACATCCCCATCAGTCCATTCTCCTCACAACTTGTGGCGGTCAAAAAAAAAAAAAAAATTTTTTTTTTAAAGCCAAACTGATTATTTTACTTCCTGCCTACCACCATCATGACTCTCCCTCCTCCCCAGGGAGCAGTATTTCAATGAAATTAGAATCAAAACCTCCTCCTCACAGTGGCCTCCAAGACCTCCCGTGCCCCCTGGCTCTGGTTAATTCCTGCAGCCTCATGGCCTCCATTTCCTCGAAGGACCAGGCTCGCAGTCGTACTGGGGTCTTTTGCACTGATGCTGTTGCGACCTGGAGCATCACTTCCTCTGGGCAAGCTTTCCCTGACCCTCAGAATAGAAGACGCCGTTACTCCCCTAGCGCCGTGGGACTCCGGTTTCTGCCGTCAGTGGCTCCTTGATTGTGTAGTGATCTGATTAGGGGCTGTCCCTCCAGTGAGCCGGAGAGACCACACGGGGAGGAATGATGCTTATCTAGCTCCTTAGTACAGAGCCCGCAACACAGCAAGCACTCAATAAATGTTTGCTGAAGAAAGGAAGGGGGGTAGGGAGGGAAGATGGAAGGAATAAATGAAAAGATAGTGCTTCTTACAGGAATTCTCTGGCGAAGCCTTTGTAAAGTAAATGATACTTGGTGAATTATTTTTGGTGTAAAAATTGACTTTCCTATGTTATCGTCCCTTCAACATAGTAAATCTGT